TTGTGCACTTGTTAAGGATTTAGGCGTAGACAGGGCCACTTTCTTAACATTTGTATGCCAAGAAAGTGTGATGACAAAGGAAGGTGCAATAAGAGTATGTAAAATGTTCCTTCTCAACACAGGGTAAGTCAACAGTGTCAAAACACTACGTCATCTTTGGATCGCTGCACTCAAACTCAACCAATCACTCATGAGTAAATCTGTGAGGTACAGTGAGCCCACCAATCTTATCTTATCTATCAGTCAGCAGAAAAGTCTCCGGGTCAATGACCTCTCCTGTCTCATGCGTTTCTATTTCGAGACCCGGGTCATCTGAAACTCCGGCCGCCCGTCCCTCCCGTTTTGAACCAAGCCGAAATCTCACTGCATAACCAGCCTCGCTCTGCTAACTCAGAGGGGGAATTTGGGGGCCGTCAATTTAAACCAGGGGCAATGACAAAATCCTCCTCACCTCTCCTCCGTATGACACAATCTACTGTCTTTTTATTTCTGTCATATCGAATGTAGTGAAACTCGGAATGACCCCATCACATTAAACGAAGCATTTTTACTGGTCTTCTCCCCTCGACGCTGATCCTTCGGCGCAGCCACGACGGTATTGGGTAGGATATTCTCTGCAGGAAGTAAAAAAAGAAATCGGATGACGAAATACCGATGATACCTTATTGAAACCTGGAAGAAGGACATCCTTCCCAGATTACAAATGTTTTCCTCTTATTCTAAGCCTCCTTTGAATAAACTGACCTTCCGAAGGATTCTCATGGTCTCCATAAGGCTGGCCCAAAAGTTCGTAACCGAGCTGTCGCGTGTTTCGTTCGACTAGAGACCCACGCGTTTGATTGGTAGCTGACCTGTCTGCCTTGGATACCGCCAAATTCTCCGCATCAGCCTTGGCTGGTGAGCCATTCACCATGGGCTGCTTTAGTCGCTTTTCGGGATGGAAGCTCACAGCCGTGTACCTCACCATTCTCGTCAGTACGCTCACGACGCTCCTCTTCGTCACGCTTTTCGTGTCGCTGTTTGCACTGAAGAGTGACGATGAAGAGGATGCGTTTACCAATGGGAGAGATGCCGGTGACGCGCTGGGCCAGAGTGTTTTGTACAAGGGGAACTGCGACACAACTGCGAAAGCTAACTTGTGGATTCATTTGCTCATCAACATCGTCAGTACTGGCATTTTAGCATCGTCAAACTTCTTTATGCAAGGTCTTGTTGCGCCGACGCGAGCTGAAGTCGACGCTGCGCATCGCTCAGGTCATTGGCTAGAGATTGGCGTTCAGTCCCTCAAGAACTTCCGTTTTCTCGGCTGGCGAAAAGTTCTCTTCTGGTCTCTATTTTCCATGAGCTCTGTTCCGCTTCATCTCGTCTTCAACGGTTGCGTGCTTGAGAGTAAAGGCACCAATGGCTTCACAGTCATGATTGGCTCTGAGAAGATAACCCAAGGTGGCTGGAAGGGTCTCCCCTCAATTACAGCGGCCTTCTACGATACACTAAACTACAGCGATAGATCGCAAGGCGACGGCAACCCAGAATCTCTGGAGAAGCTAAAGCCTATCAATGATTCCTTTGTGGTCAACTCGGTCAACGCGACCAAAGGGACTTGGTTTGAAATAGACCTGCGCACATGCATGGATCGATATAACAACCCGGAGCAAGCTTTAACGCACTGGCGGCATTTGATGATGATAATCTACGACTACGACGATATCTACCGAAACAAAACTGTCGGTTGGAAACGAGCTGATGTATTGATGAACACCACCAACACCACGGATCTCAACGTGATGAACCCGCTTTGGACGGTGGATACGTTCACACGTACTGGAAGAACGGGCGAGGCGAGCGGCAATACTAATCAGTACTTGTCGGACCCTCAGCCAAGTTATCTGACGTATACTTACTCCGATCGATTTGGCAATACGCAGAATGGCGAACCGTATATCATGAACATGTACGGCATGTGGGTTATGCAAGGTACCCGGAATGTCTTTGACGCCCAGTCTGGTGCTATCATAACAGATCCAAGAGTTTTTAAGAACAAGTATCGGGTCATGCAGGTTGATCGATGTTACTCGGAGAAATACGAGGCGCCGTGTCGACTAAGTATCGCGAATAGTCTTTTGCTCATTGTCTGCATTATGTGTCTCTTCAAGACCTTTCTATGCGTCTTGGTTCTGAAACTTCGTGTTTGGGGGAATGAGAACCCGCTTATGACGCCCGGAGATGCGATTGCGTCGTTTATTTCGAGACCGGACGAGGAGACGAGGGGTATGTGTACGTTGACCATGGAGGATTTGAGAAAGACGGCAAAGCCTACGTCGACGAGACTCGGGGAAACGGGTCAGAATTACAAATGGCTGCAGGGACCGAGGCAGTGGCAGAACAACTCACCACGCAAGTTTGGAAAGGCTGTTCCTCGAAACATTTGGGTGCTGTCATCTCTGCTCATCGGATGTTCACTCATCGTGGCTTCAGTCATGCTAAGTATCGCCATCCAGGGTCAATCTCTGTAAGTCAGCCTTCTCCTAGTAGTACACACGAAAAACCCTAACACCATCAACAGGAGCAATTCTAAATTCATGCACGCACCGCAGAATGAAGATGTGAAGGACGATCATCTAGATAACCTGCCTCTTATCTCACTCACCATGGTTGCCAACACACCGCAGCTAATCCTCTCCATCTGCTACCTTGCATACAACGGCCTCTTCACACGCATGCTAGCTGAGTTTGAGTGGTCAAAGTACAGTGTTGAGTTTCGTTCTCTGCGCGTCACGGAACCACGCGGCTCGCAGAACGCGACGTATCGTCTTCAGCTTCCTTATCGGTTCTCGATCCCTTTGATTATTATTAGTATTGCGCTCCACTGGATCTACTCCAACTGCATTTACGTGAGCAATTACGAAGGTAAGCATACTTACCCCAAATAGTTAGCTGCCCAGATTAAAGTGCTGACACACCATAGCATACGCCCCAGGATATCCGTATAACAGAACCGTCACAGTCGGTCTTCAGTTTTCATCCAAGGCTATCTTGGTCGGTCTCCTGGTATCGATCGGTGTCGCCATCACGCCACTCTTCCTCGCCTTCGTAAAACTACCAGGCGTGATGGTTATCGCAGGAGCAAACTCGGCAGTCATTTCAGCCGCCTGTCACTACCCCTCTACAAAACTCAAATCCCTTAGCCGCGCAACGTCCAAGCTGAGCATGAGGAGTAACGAGTACGACAGTATGAGTGCTCGACTGATAGGCGATGAAGAAGTAGAAGAACTTCGGGACGTATCGAGGCGAAAGATCAAATGGGGAAGGATGTCCATGGGCAAGAGTGATGAGAGTTCAGTCGGACATCTCGGCTTCGGTACGGAGGAGCTTGATATCGAGAAGCCAGTAGAAGGAGAGTATTACAGTGGCGTAAAAGACGTCTATGACGAAGGATTGAGGAGAATGCGGGTGTTGTAATGATAACAGAAGTTCTGGACGGAATCCTTCTGATCGATTGTACTACTATGTTACGCTCTGGATAAAATCGGTGGCGAATGGCCTATTAGATAGATTCTTGTACATAAAATATTCATTTCCGTGTTTATCACTGGCTGCTTTGCCTCCTCTCCCCAGAAATTGTGGCTGCATTCCTCATGACAGATTTGGAAGTATTGAAGGTTATAACACGATGAATTCAGGAAATGACCTTCCCCACGAACGTTAACCTAAGGCTATTCTTATCGTAGCATGGGGTCGTGATGGATAAGGGAACCGGTAAACCGGCATCGGCGTTTAATATGTCGCCCGCATGGAAAACAGAAGTTCCTCAGCTTCGAAGGCGCACTAGAACACGTTGGTGCTGTACCGAGCGGCCGATCTAGCAACGGGAGGCCGATAGCCGTGTTTCCATATCTGTGCCACCTCTTCAGCGTGAGTGGCTTATCTCTCGCCTCTTTAGTATGAACCGTTGAACGTTAGCGGTTCTATTCCCGTGCAAGACCCGTGTCAGCACGCGACAAAACGTGAGCGAAATCTCACGCTTTTTTATGATGTGACAACGTATCATTGTGAAATTACAAGATTAAGCATATGAGACCCCCAGAATTGCTAATATCAACGATTAATACCATCGGCACTTAACGTGACTTCCGGCTAACTCGGCGATAGATAGCTCGATAGACCAGGGTCTGAAAATGGGACCGACTGCTCCAATCCAGCGCGACCTCGGCTGATCTAGCCAAGCTTGGCAGGTCACCTCGCACCAATGCCGATTTGCCAGGACCTTTTGTTGCTAACTCGCAGCCAAAGACGCGTGATCTTGCGGGGAAGGGGGCAAGGTGCTGTTAATAGGGGACATGTCACTGGCTTGCAATTGCTGGTTGGACTCATATCAAATTGGGGAGGAGTCGCATGTCTTGCAGTCGATATCAGATACGAAATGAGCCCGGGGCTGTAGCCGCGAATAACGTCGGGAACAACAGAGGAACTTTTGGCAGGTTGGTCCTTTTGAAAAGTTCCTGGGCCATTGTGTTGGGTATTGCCGTCCTATCCAGTACGATAGCGTGCCGAAAACCCGGAATGCCTTTGGTGGTCTAGCACGACTTTATGTTGTAGTATTGACGATGATCATCTTGGTGTTTTAGATATTGAGTACAAAACATGTTGCATCGCCCTGCCAAGACTTAGGTTTCATCGACATCCTTTCTTCTCTATGTTTATGTTTTAATTTCTTTGTTAAGCTACAATGAGCATCTCTGAGAAGGAGACCAAACCAGAGAGCCCTTCTTCCAAAGCGGATATCTATCCTGCTGATGAGAAGAGGGGTCTTCCTCAGGATGACAAGAATGTTCATGATATTGAGATCATGTCGTCTGATAAGGTGAAGCAGCCTCTTGAGACTGCTGAAGATATCGTCACGCATGTCATTCAGGTCGATGATGATCCTACTATGAACCCATGGACCATTCGCATGTTTGTCGTTGGTTAGTCGACTAACTCTTCTTGAGATGTAATATGCTGATAGGTGAAAGGTATTGGACTGTCTGCCTTTGGTGGTGTCCTCCAAGAAATCATGTACTTCAAGCCCCAAGTCGTCTACGTCTCCGTCATGTTCTTGACCGTCCTCGCCGAAACGCTCGGTACCGGTCTCGCTCACATCATCCCTCGCTGGGGTCGCATCGGTCGTCTTCTCAACCCCGGTCCCTGGAACAGAAAGGAACATACCGCCGCTGTCCTCATGGCCTCAGCTGCTTCAGTCTCAGCCCTGTCCACCGAAGCCTTGACTGTCCAGAAGCTCTGGTATGGAGGTTACCCCGACCAAGCAGCCGGTATCTTCATCACCCTGTCGTCTCAGCTTATCGGATATGGTGTTGCTGGTATGATGAGGAGTGTTCTGCTGTACCCTACCAAGATGCTGTACCCTGCCAACCTTCCCATCACGACTGTCATGGAGACTTTGCATAAGCCCAAGTCAGAGACCAGGAAGAGATTCCAAGTTTTCTGGATTGTCTTTGTTGCCATCTTCTGCTGGGAGTGGTTCCCTGAGGTTAGTGAACCAACTCAGGTTCATCAAGTCATGCTGACAATAGTAGTACATCTTCCCTCTCCTCTCCGCTGTTTCCGTCTTCTGCCTCGCCGACCGTCACAACCCCGTCTTCACAAACCTCTTCGGCGGCTCACAAGGTAACGAGGGAATGGGTTTCCTGAGCATCTGCTTCGATTGGAACTACATCGCCGGCTTCGGCTCACCTCTCTGGATGCCCCTTCAGACACTCTTCAACAGTTATCTTGGTTACATCGGTGGTATCGCTCTGTCTATGGGTCTCTACTATGGAAACTACTGGCGCGCAAAGGACTTCCCCTTCATGGCCCAGCTCCTCTACGATGGAAGTTCCAACACTACCAGCCATATTCCTTACAACGAGACTGCCATCATGAACCCCGACTTCACCGTCAATAATGATCTCGTCGACCAGCAAGGTCTTCCTTACTTGACTGCTACCTACATCAACTATCTCATCACTTCTAACGCCGGTCTCACTGCCACAATTGTGCACATGCTTCTCTGGAACTATGCCGAAGTCAGCCTGGGATGGGCCTGGATCACGGTCGCCAACATGAAGAAGCTTCTTCGCCCTGAGACATACAAGTTCTGGCAGCATGTCGGTACCCGCACCGAGGAAGAGAAGCAAAAGCTCCGCGACGACCCCTCCATCGACCCTCATTACAAGCTCATGCTCGACTACGACGAGGTTCCTAACAGTTGGTACTTCGTCATCCTTCTCTCCAGCATCATCATCGGATTGGCTTGTTTGTATGCTATGAAGTCGACTCTCCCGTGGTGGGGCTTCATCTTGGCCATCATCTTCCTCGTAGTCTTCTTGGTTTTCTTCGGCGCACAGTATGCCATCACCGGATTTGGTTTCAACCTTCAGCCTATCTTCCAGATGTTGGCTGGCTACATGTTCCCTGGTCGCCCTCTTGGTAAGGATATCACCATCATTTGCATTGTCCACAATACTGACCATCTTAGCCAACATGTACTTTACTTCGTACACCTACAACGCTCTCAGCCAGGGCTTCCTCCTCCTCCGTGACCTGAAGCTCGCTCAGCAGAACAAGCTCTCTCCCAAGGCCACCTTCACTACTCAGGTCATTGGTTGTATCCTTGGTGCCCTTCTCAACTATGTCATGATGATCAGGTAAGAGTCTATGAACCATGGACCTCGACATTTGAAGCTAACTCGGTGTAGCATCGTTGACAACCAAGCCGCCATCCTCAAGTCCGCTGAAGGTACCAATGTTTGGAGTGGTGCGCAGGTTCAGCAGTTCAACACCCTAGCTATTGCCTGGTCCATCGCCCCCAAGATGTTCTCCATCGGCGCTCGTTACGAATGGGTCACCATCGCCTACCTCATCGGCTTCGCCGCTCCTCTCCCCTTCTACTTCGCTCACAAGTTCTTCCCTCACATCCGAATCTTCTCTTACCTCAACATTCCCATCATCCTCTGGTACCTCGGTTACCTTTTCGTCGGTCTGAACGCTTCAGTCACCAGCTACTTCATCCTTGGTGCCTTTGGTCAGTTCTACCTCCGACGATACCGCCCTGAGTGGTTCGTGAAGTGGAACTACCTGATCTCTGCTGCTCTTGATGGTGGTACCCAGGTCATGGTATTCATTGCGACTTTTGCTGTCTTTGGTGGCTCTGGAAAGTCGGTTCCGTTCCCAGCTTGGGCAGGAAACAAGGTGGACAACTTTGACTACTGTGCTTTTAATGCGAACAGTTAGATGAGGAGAGCGAAGAAATGGCGAAGGAGAAGCCATATGATTGAAGTACCATATTTATAGCATTTAAAGGTACATTAGTAAATACATGACCTTCATTGTTGAAATCTCTGGACTAGTTATAGTCTGCCAGTGCTACAAAGTCTTAATTCGATCTCAAGCTTGGAAAGCCTTTGGATGAACTGAAAAGCTCATCTTGGGCTATTGCGTAGGTAGTTGGTATGCTGCCGGAACTGTGTTTTATAATTAATGTTTGCATCACGCAACAGTTAGCTAGATGTGTTATTTGCAATGAAGACTTGCGACTGAGAGCTTTTAATCACCACATAGAACTTAACTTGCACCGCTCACCTTACTTCGACTGAATGACATTTCTGTTCCGCGTATCCCACCCTTCATTTAACACCAAGAACCTGCATCATTCAGCATCTCTAATACAGCGATATGTGACTTTAATGGGCCGCCATCTACGCGCATTATATTCTAATGTAATACAGTTCTATGGATATTTCTATTCTACAAATAAAGATTATTTGTTAAACGCCCAAGAAGCATGCCGAAGGCAAGAGGGAAGATTAAATGACAGCTAAGGCAGGCGGCCAGAATTCTATTGAAGGTACAGCAAAACTGAACTCTCAGAAAAGAAAGTATGCCCTGGATAACAACTTTGAAGGGCCTACTAGTCCCAAAACGACTGGCGCTCCTGATAGCTATGTATATAAAGACGAGAAGTCTCCATCCCAGTTTGCCAAAGCAATGGACAGACGTTTCGAGTTCGACTTCAGCGATTTAGTCAGCCCTGACGCAAAGGTACTCAAACCAGCATTGAGCCCGAGCAATTCGTTTACTAATCTGCCCTGTGTTCTGACGGAATAGAAACCGCCGATCGAAGAATCCAAGCGATACCCCTGGTGACATTGGAGATGAGGCGAATTGCTCTTTTGAGTTGACAGACCTAACAACTGATGCTTGGGTCACGGGCCTTACCTTGTCAAAATGGTGTTTCTATTAGGCGTAGACCGACCGTTCTCTTTAGACTAAAAGCACGCATCCTTCGCAGACTTCAAGACAGTGGCATGTAACTTTAATCGGTCGCCATCCTCGCGAATCTCTCTATCAATGCGAACGTTTAGATAAAGAGAGCGAAGGAATGACGTAGGAGACACCGTCTGATGACAGATTTGTAAAGATCAACCATTATGGAAGACGGATTCTAGTAATATTGGTCCTGTGGCATTTCCAACCTATGGTATATTCGATCTGTTTATGGGATTGAAACCCATTAATTATACAAATCCGTTTCATCTGTTGTCACAGCCTGTCGCAGACCTTTTGCCAGAAACACTACATATGCCATAATCACTACATCTGTCAGATCGCTAAGTTCGCCAGGCGTATATACAATACTATTGGTATTTTAAGTAGCACAGCAGACGAGAATTATTAGTTGAAACCTGCCACGAACTTAATGGAGGCAAAGACTCGAGGTTTGACCAGAAATATGATGGGATAGCGATGTCGGTCTGCATTGTCTGGCTATGTAACTATGATATAACCTCTTCTCCGTCTCCCAGACCACGAAACATTACCAAAAGCTTGCCATCCTTCGTTCACTCGGCTTTCATGCACTGCTCCGCAAACCATGAGCTGCCAGATACTGCCTCATGCCATAACCTGTCTGTCACCAAAATCCGAGATCCGTCTCACTCTTCGTCAGACTAAGGCTGCTCTCCGCCAGACTGGGGTTCCTCATCAATGGGAAACGTATCGCTCCATCTGTCATACTCTTCGTCGGTCAGAACGTCTTTATACCATTCATTTCGTCGGCCCAAAAAGGCCTCATCTGGAGCGCAACGCTCCATGTTCAAGAGTGCGACCAGGGCCTTTCCGCCCCGGGTAATCGCCAGGCGTAGAAGTGAATCCCAGTCGTGGTTGTTACAGGCCTCTTGGTCGGTCTGATTGATGGGATGTCCTGCCTCCTTCGCCGTATGGCAGACCGAGTTTGCCATATCCTTCCAATCTGAGATCTCGTCATCGCGCATTCGCCAATGACTCTTGAGAAACAGGACCAGCTGGTCCGCTGATCCGTCCACGGTCGGGGTCTTTAAAGCGTTTTGCATATCCGCTTCAAGCGCCTCTAATCCTTCCTCTCTTGCTGTCTGCGCAGGATCGACTCGAGACCGAAGTCGGGTCTCGTTAGTCTCAAATGCGGCGTTCAGAGTTGCTGCATTGACAGACGAAGACTCACGTAGCTTGGCTACGCTTTGGGCCATGAGCGTATAGTTGTCGATCTCGTGGTCTCGACAAGCAAACAGTCGGTCTGTATGCTGCTTGATTAGGGCAGCTGTTTTCTGGTGAGCCTTTGGTAGGCTCAAAGCCGCGGTCTCAATGGCCCGGATTGACCGTCGGGCTGTATCGGTCTCCACGTTGAGGATTTCTTGGCTAGTGTCGTCTTCCACCTCTACCTGTGGGAGGATGGGGGCCTCGAGTAATCTCGAGTCCAGGTTGAAGTCCTCCGACTTTGCCCATCGGTTGAGGACATTGCGGCGAGCCTTAGAGATAAGTGGGAAGATCTCTTCTATGACCTCTTCCTCGATCGTCGGCCCAAACATTTCCTTCGTGCTTTCTGGGTCCATCAACTGATCTAGCCAATGCGCATTTCGTCGGTCCCATTCTTCCGCTGTGATTACCTTTGTAATCGGTGCTGTTGGCAGAGTCGGTCGGGATGGGTAAGGCTGCATAAATCCAGTCGGTATCTGCTGGACGTTTACGGCGTTTGCTGGAAATGGCTCTGGAACGGCTTCAGAGAGCTTCTTGCGCTTTTTGGTCTGTGCCTTGGTCGACTTTGGAACCGGCAGATCAAGCGGCACTGATTCCTCCTCATCTGTGGGATGGGTGATCTTCTTGGAACCCGTGACTTTGAGTTCCCCATCGGTTGTTTTTTTGGGCGGTCTAGGTAGATGCTTTTCGTCGTCGGTCTTTTGTTCCTCATCATCCGAGTTCTCAGGTTCGTCGCTTAGTTCGTCTAATAAGTCGTTGAGTGCGTCGCTTGATTCGTCGCTCAGTGACTCGTCATCTGAGTTGATTTCAATTGGTTCGGACCGGCCTTTCTTGTCGGTGTTGGTCTTCTTGAGCTGCTTGGGATTGCCCCCTCGTTTCGTAGGTGGCTTCTTTCGCTTCTTGCTGTCTGCCATTTTCTTTGATGAATGAGTCTCCGCCGGCTGTGTAGAGTTTGTCGGACCCAGGAGTCTTGAGGGATTCTGTTCCTGATCTGTACTGGAACTAAGAGCGCCGGTCGGCTTGGGACGGACAGGCTTGTTTTGCAAATGAGAGTTTGTGGGCACTAAGGAAACAGCAGACTCGTCGCCGGCATCGGAAAGATTGAGGAAAGCAGCTGCTAGGGCTGCATCGGGCTCGACGTGATCCATCGGTTCGGTCTGTTGTGTGAGGTCCTCTTGTTCGTCTGATTGGTTACTAAAGACAGATTCTCATTGAGGGGAGTACCAGTTTGCGATACCTTTTGCAGAGTTCTTTGTCGGCGAAGCTGAATTGTTGTTATTGTTGGTATCGTTTGGTGCCGCATGTGTGGGCGCTGGGGTCCCGCTGCTTGGCTCCGAGGTCTGATCTTGCTGCTGCGATCTAGACGTCGCGCCGATGCCGCAGTACTTTAAAAAGTTCATTAACCGATGCGCCTTGATCTGTAGATAGTATAAATGAAGTCTTATTATATTATAATATGATGCGCGTTGTGGGTGGCCGATCCAAGTCACGGACTGATGTGTTGGAGATGTTGTGGGGGGCGAGTTTTTGGTGTTGAGAGAAAGTAGGTCACTAAACAAGAATAGTAGCAGCCAAAACAACATCTCCTGGATTACCGTTCGTCCTCACGACGCTCCGTCTCGCCGATGGAATTCAAGTCGACTATGCCACAGGGCAGACCACTGCAAGAGACGTCAACAGACTGGACAAAGATCGATGTTAGCCAAGCATCTGCCGAATAAATTTTCTTGAAAAACAGCCGATCATCCTGGCGCCTTGTAATCTCTGAAGCGTGCTTTTAAGCAAACCAGTGGAATTCAAGTCAACTATACCGCAGATTTGGCAGACCACTGTAACGAGACATCGACAGATTGGACAAAGATTGATATCTGCTGAGCATCTGCTAATATGTTTGCAGAAAGACAGCCGATCATCCTGGCGTCGCACAGTCTCTGAAGCGTATATTTAAGTAAACAGGGGGCATTCAAGTTAATGATGCCGCTGAAGTTGGCAGTCTCATTTAATGAGATATTAAATAAATTAGGTAAAGACCGATAATTCTAAAAAGACTGATGGGCAGGGTTGGATCAACAAAGATGTACTTATGGGACTTGATATTGAAAGCCAGGTAGGCATTCTGGTCTGTTTCAGTGTACCACTTGTATGTACTCTGCCCGTCATTGTGGACGAACGGACTTGGTGAGTCAATGTACGTGCTTCCACTGGTATCTTCAGTGTCATTGGAGAAAACCGAAGTACTGGCAAAGGTTCCCAAGACATCTCTAAGTGGTGAGTGCAAGTATTCGAAGTTTCCCCGAGGCCAGTTCGGCTTCTTGATCTTGTTGGAGTTTGAAGCTTTGTCATACACTCCATTCATGACAACTTCGACGATGAAGGACTTGTAGAAGCCCGCCTCATTCTGCATTCGCGCTGGAAGTGCAGACGTAGCCGTGTAGCCTATTCCAGTGGGTGGAGAATAAGCATCACGAGCTTGGGGACTAACGCCCGGGCTATCATTGCTTGGGGATACGTTCGGTGGCTCGCGTGATGAATGGCTTCCACCCGGGGTTTGTTCGACAGATGTATCGGCCATGACGAAAGAAACAAGAGAGAAGTGTTTTTAGATAGTATGCTTCTGATAGACACCACATTCATTATGTCACTCATGATGAGTCTTTGGACGGTGGTTGCAATAGCTCGGCAGTATACCAACCAATTAATGACATGATTTGTACGGGACTCATCTTCTGTTACGTGTGTGGCTGCTGTGGGAGAGCCATGGAAGGTCCGTTTGGTTGACGGATCCATGCTGCGACTGCCCACGCACTTTTGAACTTGTACCTACGGCTAGAATGAGGCAACTGTCGGTCATAGGACCACATATTCACGCTCAATGGTCCAACTACTCTCGAAATTCTAATAGCAGATTCACTGAGACAGCTGAGACTTGGATCTTTGAAGAAGGGGGACATGCTATCATTTACCATCTGACTTCTTTACTCACTTGCTACAGTCAGAGAAAATTCAGTACGCCCCCTGTAAAATTGCTACTCAATGGACCATCCAGCCACGGGCGAAAACCTACGAGAACGATATACCGACTGCAAGAACGAGATGGCTCTTGGAGCCTTCGCCCCAGGCGTAAGATAATTGACTTGAGTTGAAAAGTAGCCTTTCCAATCAGCTTGAACATAAAGGGTACCGGAGCCCGTGCGCAAGCTCAATGACTTGACATCAGCCCGAGGCAGATGCTTCTCATGAGAGTAGACTGGCTTGAATCCCTGCATGAAAGGCTGCTTTAGCACTTCTTCCCCATGTAGAAATGAGGCCGAAGTCAAATTGAAGAGGTGAAGGTCCGGATCTGTAGAGATAAGGAGGTGTCGGTGGTCAGGCACAGGTGTAATATCATGTCCTCCATCCCACCATGAATCATCCCATTCCTCGCTGAGCATTCTAGGAGGACCAATGGGCTCGATTTGAGAGGGCTTTTGAGAGAATGAGCCATTCCTATACTCATAGCGATTCAGTTGAGCTGTAGAAGGACATTTCCCTTTGGGAGGTAGATCATTCCCGACAGCCCAAAGACTTTGTGTTACTTGGTCCCATACAAGACTATGCACTGCGGGGAGACCATCAAGCTCTTGAAGAAAACCGGAATATGGGTTTGATGCACCCAAGGACGTGTTGACGATCTTGATGTTCCCAGTTGCTTCATAGGAAGTTGTTGCTATAGCGAGCTTCCCATCGGGCAGAAGCTCAATGCCGTGAGTTCCTCCCAGACCGAATTTATCTAAGCACATGCCAAAGGTTATGGCCTTGTCTTTAGATGGTTCGTCAGGACAATGATTGATGATGACGACTGCATTCGCAAAGACTGCCACAACGCTTCTACCGTGGTTCGCCCACTTGACGTCTGTCACGGAGCCTCCATTTTGTAGACACTCATTGAGCTTCTTTGGTATGTCTTGGTTGACGAAGTCGACCTTCGTCCAGTTCCATGTTACGTGACCAGTAGTATTGTGGATGCTGATTCGAGCAGGATCGTATTGGCCTGTGATGATCTCAGGAGAAGCCTCTTGAGGGTGAAGGATATGCTGCAAGCCATCGCTGCTTCCATTGGCAAGGACGAGATTGGTAGCGATTATGATGAAGAGTCCAACCTGGAGATACCATCGGAAAGTCTTGTAAGCCATAGCTTTCCTTGCTCTGGAGTAGAAAACAAAGGTTTGTTGAGTTCAGTTGAAAGCTTGTGATAACAAATTGACAATAATAGTCACAGTAAAACAAGACAAGCTTTTCTGTCACCTTGTGTTTGCATTTGGTGAGCGATTGTTTGGGTCTGTGAAAGCCAATAAATAAAGTACTGGAGCCGAGCTGATAAGAACTACGTAAGAATATTAGGGCGGGATCGTCTTTATGCTAAATCAGGGATATAAATGAGACACGGGACGGGTAAGTGACAGATCATGTCACTCAAGAGTCAAGATATGTATCATATATGTAAGTATGTCATGTACCTCGACCAGGACTCGTTGACAAAATATTCTGACTGTGATAACTGCGCAGCGGCATTAGTCTTCTAGCCAGAAACATGGCAGATCAGCCGGTGGTACTACAAACAAAACCAGGTCACTAGAAATATGTCTCGGCTGTCCAATCTTCCGGTAGCCGACGGCGCCATGGACGGCACATCAACGGCCAAGAACTACGTTGATCCAAGACACGGCTTAGGAGGGAAGCTGATAGTGTACATAGACTTGATGGTTTAGATGGTGATTACCCCGTCGTCGGCGTCCTTGTCTATACAGATAGCGACAAAGATCATCGTTTTTCAGCTCAGCCCTCTCAGCCACTTTTAAGCAGCGTCGTCGCAGATCTCCCGAATAAAGTGATATGCAGGAATGACCATAATCCAATCAGCTCTGTCGACTAACAGTCAATCCACAGCCTGTCACCAATATTCCAGCTGAACCCGGCCCGTGCCGAGCAGTCAACGAACTTCTACTGGTAGTTGGTGGCGCTGATCAATCGCCGGTACTGTCTGGATGTATTTCAGCTTCTGTCGCTGGGTGCGCTACATGCACTCCCGCTTATGTGATTTGTGACTGTTATGAGGGATCCCGATGATCTTCTAGTTGTCCCGAATAGCGGCCGATATGGGTCTGCGGCAGGATCATGATGCTTTATGTGACGAGGAGTGATCAACGATGTAAGGAGACGGACGGAGGTGCGGCTATTGAGCACAGAGAGCTGAGATTTCTAGTTTTCCTGAGATCTACATTTCTGTCGAAGCATGGGTGAGCAGCATAGAGAAGAGAACATACCAATTGTCCTGATTCAGCCAGGACTGCTGGAACTGCAGGACATACTACCTGGGATATTATGGCAAGAAGGTTTAGATCTATATTCGGCCTCGATAAATTATGATGGAATGACGGGCAGGGATTCAAAATGTACCGTGAAGTCATAACCGGCTTACCGTTGCTAGCCGATGCCATGCGTGAAGGATTGATCAATGGAGGAACTCTGCCGTATAGTGATGAGTATGTCCGTAATCAGTGAGATTGGATCTGCTTGTCAGCACGCCGATGTGCCCCAAATTCGTCCGAATCTCTGTCCGAAAAGTAGCGAAGGATTAGACTGCATGGCGTAGCACAGAGATATCAGTGCGAAATCGGAGGTTTCGTCCGAAGAAGGATTCCGTGATTTTTAACTGTTACATATATAACCTCAGCATAAACCGATCGATAGATAATTCTGAACATCATCTTCAGTCTCAAACGATAAATAAAATGGAGGGAAAAGACCAACAGCCAGTCATACTTCTAATTCACGGTGCTTGGCATCGACCTCTCCACTACCGTCTTCTCATCAAAGCTTTCCAGCAACAAGGCTTCACTGTCCTGGCACCGCCGCTTGCAAGCTCCGGCTACGATGATTCAGTCGATGGTAAGACATACCATGATGATGTAAAGAGGATCCACGGCGCTGTTCTTCCTTACATGGACAACGGAAGAAAGGTGATTGCTGTTGGTCACAGCTATGGAGCTATCCCTCTTACCGTGGCGATTGAAGGTCGCAGTATCGCAGAGAGAGAAGAGAGAGGCCTTCCTGGTGGCTTTGGCTCTGTGATTTATGTGGCCCCAACACCTGTCCTACACAAAGGCATTTCTATGTATAAGGCTGCGGGCGAGCATCGCAAGACACCATTCTTTCATGACGTAACAGTAAGTCAGCACTCAACTCAGAATCCCAAGCCACCGAACCAATTGTTTGTTAGGACACACGTATGCCACTGAAGCTGGATAGGGTCAAAGAAGCATTCTTCTCAGATATTGATCAGAGCATTGCGGATGAGATTATCCCTACACTTTGTCATCAAAGCAAAGCTCCCTTCGAATTTCCTGTCGTTTGTACCCCGGCAGACTTGAAGATTCCCAAGACCATGGTTATCGGCAAGAATGATCCTATCTTCGGCAGGGAGATGCTTTTGGGCGTGGCTCAGAATTGGGGCGCTGACACCTTGGAGATTGAATCTGGACATAGTCCGCATCTGGTGGAAGAGCACAGAAAGTGGCTCGTGGAGCTTGTGTCCCAGGAGACCAGGAAGATATGAAACAACGATCACGATTGCTAGTTATCAAGGGTTAGGGCGAAGGATGCGGTCAGGGCGATTAAAACTCCACTCAAATCATATCTTCAAGAGTGCCAACAGATTATTTGAGATTGCCAACGGGAACCTTCGTGCTTGTAGCACAACATGATCTCAAAGCGATACAGGCTATTAGATTGATGGCCTAGTCGCAAAGTCAATTTCAATGACCCTATCAGGGCTGCGGCTTTGATAATGTGTATGCCGTTACGCCGTATAACCCAACCATCCCGGGTCCAGACTGCCGTAGGATGGTGGCGATAATACCTAGGTCAAGCCGTTGCAAAAGCCACTGATGATAGATTTGACCCGGTTAGAAACCTCGTTGGCTTGAACGAAGGTCATGTGCCGAGCTAAAAATAAGTTAATTTGTGGCGTAGGTCCAGACCGCTGCTCATACTGTGGTGTGTGTAAGAAGCGGATCTTGCCCAGGATTTCACGCTCAACACCAACGGCAGAAGGGTTTCCGAATCTAATTTCGCCAAGATACCGAATTCCGGCAAGTATGATCTCATTTCTTGATATTCTGACCACTGGAGCAATCTGACAAAGACCTAACGTTACGATCTGACTCATATTATTGCTTACCCACGTGATGCGACAGCCAAGCTTCGACAACCCGTCGATGGAACTATAGCAAATTGACGACAAGTTGAATCAGAAAATAGTCTTTGAAACTGTCAATTATGGCGTCCACTCCTTCTGGCAATGTTGGATCCACCATCGAGGACCTTATCTCCTCATACTCGATCCTCACTTCCTTAGCACCGTGGCTCTCAACCCTTGACCTCTATCATCTCAGTCTGACAAGCAAGTCAGCTTACGAGTACATCCGATCGTCACCAACAATCTTCAAGTCGCTCAGTCGTCATTGCCTCTGCGATGGTCGTGGCCTCGCTACACGTCAAGCCTATGCAAGTCCCTATCACAGGAACCGTATGGCCGGTCAGTCGACGCTAAGTCCTCATCTCAAAGGCGACGAGGAGATCGAAGTACGCTTATACAACACCAAATGCGATGAGGCGGGTGCATTACCGTGTTTAAAATGCGGCATTAACGTCTGTGAGGAATGCCGATGTTATCCTCGTGCAGCTCCGCCGAGTGCATATCCGAATCGCAGACCGCATTTGAGAGGGAGTTATGAGCTTGATAATATCATGTGCTTGTGTGAGGATTGTGACGCGAAGACTGAAAAAGAAGTATCAGGGATGTTTCTGAACGAAAGATGCGACTGTGATGTTTATACGAGGTGGATTTGTGTCAGATGTGAAGAGGAGGAGCGCATGACGGCGAGGAAATACTTTGCTGAACGAACAGAGATGGAATGGAATTGGATTGTCAGGGAGGATGTTGACTACGGCGATGATTTTGAACCCTCAAAGACGCTTCATGACCATGCTTTTGAGCGAGCGGTATGACTGCCAAATCAAGAACGCGGAGGTAAGCTAACGAATTGATCCAGTTTTGGTGTACTTGCGGCAAGACGGTCTCCCACAGGACAGTACCACGCTGTATCTGGTGCAGAAGAAGGCATCTGCCAGAAGGTGAATGGCATCAAGAGCGTCAGGATATTGGCTCGAAGCATCCATTTTTCGACAATGTAAGTCGCCTCCATCAAACTGATCGAAACCTTCTTACCTTTCGGAACAGGATCCTGATTATCCCCGATGGGTAAGCGATGAAAATAACAAGTATCCGACTCCTTATCCAAGGTTAGGCTACCAACGCGGGGTAGTAGCTGATGAGGAGGTTGTGAATGGATAGTTTGGGGAGCTCGAAGTCTATACCTTGCGGTTTTGGGAATGATCAGATCATAACGGGTATCTAATGTATTGTGAGGAATACTTCTCCTAGTTCAGGACATATCTGGCCTTTTAGACTGCCACAAATACATCATCGGCCAATTCATACCGTAAGTCAATGATGATGAAACACGGAGGATTATCAAGGTCGCTTGAATATAATATCATTCATACACAATTATTAATACAAAGCCCATACAACAAGAACCACATTCAACATCTTCTTCCCCATGCCGCAACTCTGTGTATCCCTACGATTCATCGGGTTCTTTATCTTCAAGCTCTTCAAACATCTCAGTACCAAAAGTGTCAGCAAGAAACTGACGAACCTCCGCATTCCCCCCTTCTCCCACCGTTATTCCCCGCGCGTTGCCTTCTACTTTCAGACCACGAAGACCTGTCGCTCTCGATAACGCAACGTATACCTGCCCCTCTGCAAAAGCCCTACTCAAATTGACGATGACACGTTCGAGAGTCATGCCCTGGCTCTTGTGAATGGTGATAGCCCAACCAGGTACAAGCGGAATTTGTGTTCGGTGCAGGAAAGAGTAAGGTCTAATATCACCAACGGGGTTCATCACACACCAGGGATAGATTGTACGGGTACGTCCGTTGCTGAAGCGCACGCGTGGCCAGACATGATCTCTCTTATCAGGGTGAAGCTGTATGTGTTTTGCAGTGAAGGCTCGAACGAGGCCTTCTCTGTCGGTTGAGTACTCGCCTTGGAGTGCCGGTAGTATGGCCATGTCGATCCTCTCCCAGCCGCAGATAACGCCTTGACTTCCGTTGACGAGTCCAGCTCTGATATCAAGGTTCACTTGGAGCATGACTTGCATTGTTTCCTTGAGGTCGACGACCGGATCGAGTTGGTGTTCCTTGTGTGCAGCCAATGTGCCGTCTTCAGACGTCGTGCTATACTTGGCATCCTCCCATTTCAGTATCCCATTCCAATCAAAGCCTTCAAGAACTGTGTATCGCTTCGGCTTATATTCTGTGATTGCTTGGAACTTGGTGCGATTAATCGGGTCAACCTCTTCTCTGGTGCAGAGGAGCTGTGGCGCGTTCTCAACTTCACAGTCGTGATCCATGAGGAGGTCTATATCGTTTTCAGTGAAGGGGATTCCAAGCCGGCATTTCTGCAGGATTTTGATGAATGTGGGGTCGTTCTGACGATGAATGTCTCTCAAATTGAAACAGGTAAAGTTGGCCTCAGCCCAAGCCCTGCTTCTGAATGCCCATTTGTCCTCGTCAGCCCAGGGCCCGTGGTCCCCGGACTTGGGACAACTATGCATGCCCTCCGCCTTGTTGTACTTCATCTGGGCACCGCAAAAATAGCAGTACTGAAAAGGTTTGACAGGGGCGAGTTGGCAGAAGTCCCCAGTGACGATGACCTGAATGCCGCCAAAGGGCAAATGTCGCTTGTCCGCTCTCACATATTTCAAACACTCATTCATGCAGTTTAAGAAATCACTGCTGATCATGCTAACCTCATCGATGATCAGCACCTCTGTTCTTCTGATACGCTTACGAGTGGTCTTGTTCTTGAATGTAATTTCCCGGAGCGCGGCTATCCCTTTTTGGATAAAGGCAGGCGACCATCCCATGTAAGAATAGGTAGTCGTGCCGCCGATTTGCACAGCTGCACGACCTGTAGGTGCGCAGATTTTAACGTCCCTGTCTAGTGCCCTCAACCGACTGATGGCGATTTTGAGAACGGTTGATTTGCCGCAGCCAGCTGAGCCAGTGAAGAAGACATTGCGTCTGCCGCTCACAATGGTGTCGAGCAGGTGTTTCTGCTCATCAGAAAGCTCTGGTTCAGTGTTGATGACTGGTCGATCGTCGGGGGGTGCCAATTGGTCATGCTGGGCGTCTTCATGGCCGCCTGATGAGATGCTGATGAACGATAATTCGCGTTGAGTCCGTTTGGGTGAAGGAGGAAGCGTCTGTGACTGATAGTCATTTTCGCTTTTCGGAACCGCATCACTGGCCTTTCTCTTCCTCTGCAAAGGCGGCGGAGTGGGAGGGTAAGTTGGAGGGGTTGGACCTCTCATCCTGGGCATGGGTATAGCACCAGTGATTGTATAGGGTATGAATGAAGGAGGTAGCTGTACATGATGTCAGTGCATGCTTGCGGTGAGCGGGAGCTATGGGTATACCCACATGGCGCTTAAAGGAAGTCAACGTACGCACGCGTGAGGCAAGCTGATCGATCGCGTTGAAGGTTTGGATTGTGGGAGGGAACGCGCCTGATTTATTACGGGAGCTCAAAACGCGAGGTGGCGTCGTGCATGTGATCTGGCGTATCTGACGCAATCATGCCTCAGCCTATCTTCTCCAATTCGTTATCTTTTGGAGTTTTGCTTTTTTTTTTTTTTTATGCAAAACCATCATCGGCTGGAATCTTCCGCCGATCATATCGGATCAATCACGCGGCGTTGTTCGAGACTCGTCGCACGTTTCGCGACTTCAAGTGCCGATGCAAGGGTATTCTCATCCCTCAGTTAACCCTAAGGGGCTTCTGGGGTTCGCACCGACGCACTGTGATACAGTATAAAAAAACGGTTATGATAGTCAACCGTTATAAAACGTTGCCCCATACAAACTCAACAGCAATATTTAACATGGCGGTCATCTTATCGCTCCCCATCTCCCAACTCTGCAACCTCTGAGCTTCAACCGGATTTCCCGCGTTTCCTTTCGCTTCAACAAGCTCACCTAATGTAACGATACGACAGCTCATATCAAAGAAGGCCTTCTCCGTCTGCCATTCTTCCAGACTTCTAGCTTCCCAAAGAAGTTTGCTCGACGGGAGAGGAAGATTCTGCACATCGCTACAGCTACTGCACGTCCTGCCGTTCTCGATGGTTATCACGCAGCTTATGATAAGCCAGAGACAGGACATTCGGCGGCGTGATTCTGAGAATATCCAGTCTTGCCATGTTGAACTTGGCTCAGATATTTCAGAGTTCGAGTAGCTACCGGTGAAATCGAGGAATCGGGTACCGATGAGCTAGTACAGAATTAGCTCAATATTCATGGTAAAGCTTGACAGCACTGACCTCAGCTGTTTCGAAGAGCCTAGAAGTTCGGTCTTTGCTTTCTGAGTCGGGTTCACTCATCGACATCATCATATAGATAATCATAGCCTCCAGACACAAATGCACCTCACGAGGAGAGAACGTATGCAACTGGTTCGTATTAGCTGATGCTACTCGAAAAAGCTCGTCATCTTTACCTTTTCCCGAAAGCGCCCCTCCTCAGCAGCGACCATTCTCCACAAGAACGACTGGGTTTCCGGTGTTCTCGCCGCAAAGAGCTGAGAAACACTCATGCAGTTGCCCAACGTCTCAGGGAGAGTTTTCAAATGCCAATGGGGATGGATGAACGGCGGGAACGTTTGCCGACGGAGCATCATCTGCGGATATGCGTAAAGCATCTGCATGATGACTCTCGACGCGTGCTGCATGCTTGAAAGGCGATTAGATACGCGAGTTAGATCTCCCTTGGAGGTGAGCGATCTCGACGGCACGCGAGTCTGCATATCGTTTGTGATGCTGGGCGGAAAAACGTCCAGAGAATTTGGCATGAGTTCAGAGGGGTCGGTGGATATGGTGTTCAGCGACGAGATGAAGTCGCTTGCGAACTCGTCTAACTCAAGAGAAACACTCGGAGGCTCACAGGAAACTAATTCATTGACGCCCTCCAGCTCGTTGCTTGACCGAGCATTGAGATTCTGGTAATGCTCAATCGTCGTCGTAGCTCCATTGCGAATTGTACGGCCATAAGCGCATCGCAGATCCTTCTTCGTGCATCTCGAACATGGCTGACCAAAGTCGCATTTCGTCTTGGCTATTCTGCAGGAAGTACAAGACTTTGGGCGTCCTTTGCGTTGAGTCTGAGCGCGGCGGCAATAATTGACGTGTCGCTTGTATGGGTGCTCTGACGATGGTCAGCGACAGGTGGGGAATGCTTGGGGCGGATATACCCTGAGTGAAAGTCTTGTCACACAACTGACACGTTTGAAAGAACAGAGGCTCTGACAAAATCTCCATTGTAATTGATACGAGTTTTCGTAATTGGGGATGGCATGGAGGAGAATACAGGTGCAGGTTGGTAAGCAGAAACGGTCTTCGGATTTAACGCTAAAATCCCGCGGCCAATGATCTGGGCAGGGTTTCGCTTATGCAGGTGACTACCTAGGCAAACACTAAACTACCATCCTATGATATACAGTTGCTCTCTACAGAGGAAGCTCTCCATTACGGTCACTAATGGTCTTGGTAGGCCCATCCTCCCCGATAGTCGCCATCTCAACGATCCTTTCGGCACCAGTCTCAGGGCTCGTTCCCCACTCGTGATAATTGGTCAAGCCCGTCTTTACCAGTCCCGGACAAACAGAGTTGACCTTCCCACCAACAGCATCCAGTTCGCGTGCGAAGTTGAACATGAGCATGTTGACTGCCGCTTTACTCGCGTCATAGGCCTTGTAGTCAATGTTGTAATAGGTCGTGGTTTCATCGGTTGCTTTGGTGAGACTGCCCATGACGCTCGTTACAAATACGATGCGCGGTGGAGAATTCTTCGCTTTGCGCAGGAGTGGGAGGAGGCTTTGAGTAAGACAGCCAGTTCCGATGACGTTGGTAGTGAATGTCTTGGAGAAGAGATCCCAGGTCGAAAGACCTTCCTGCCTATCAAGCAAAACACCAGCGTTATTGATGAGAACATCGAGATATCCGTACTTCTCATCGATATGCTTGACTGCTTTGTCGATGGAGTCAGCAGAGGTGAGATCAAGCTCTACGACTGAAGCTTCGTGGCCTTCTTTGCGAAGATCAGAGGCGGTTTCTTCTCCGGCTTTGGTGTTTCGAACGCCAAGAAGGACATGGTAGTTGTGCTTGATGGCGAGCTCTTTGGCAACTGCAAGGCCAATGCCTTGAGTTGAGCCAGTGACAAGAGCTAGGTTACGAGACATGATAGGCAAGCTGAATTATATGAAGGATGAATGTGTATTGGTGGTTGGTGATGATTTTAGTCAAGAGCTTGAACATGAGGTCTTTATATAGGCAATTTCCTGGGAATGACAACAACCAGTCTTCCTTCGACATACTCTATCTTTCGAAAATCAACGGCCAAATTGGCATTCGAGTTCCATATTTTACTAGTGTTCCCGGACGCTTTCCATGGTGTTGTCTAGATGGATCATGGCGAGTTTGTCGCGTCCAAATTCGCCGGCTTAAAAGTGGGGCTGCAACGGCCAATTTGGCCGATGGCAACTAAAGCCAATGAGGTCCCGTTAATATGAAGGGGTAATTTTTTTTCTAACACGGGGAAAATGGAATTCATGAGAAGTTTTGAAAGCGCGAGTGGGCGGATCTTATGCTTATGCAAGCTTGGGATTCTCAAGATTCGAAGAAGCTTGTTGTATCCCTCGTCGTTTAAAATCATAACCGAATGTTTTAGGTTGTGAGATGTGAGTCTAATCCCTCTTAAGTCTTCTATTTAAGTTTCACCTTCCTTTCCCTTTCCGCGATTTAAAACAATATATCCTTATTCATTATGGCTGGGTTGATGCCGATATGTGGAAGACAGACTGTATTTAGGTCAGGTATAGGTTATGTAGAGTGAAACCCAGCGCTTTGAGGTGAGAAGGATCAACATCTCAGTTGCGCAATATATAAGATTATATTAAATTGCTTGCAACAACCAAAAAAATAGTACGTCAACTGTATAGTGATGTTTGCCTGGCAACATTATTATCAAAGCATTTCCATGTGTCATGAACCATAACATATTCGAAACTGTTTTTCAGATGTCATGCATTGCATCTTAGAAACGTAATATCATAGAAAAGATCTAGGAACAGAATGAGTTGAATCTTTGACATGTGATTTGAATAGTTTATTTTCCATCTCAGCGATATAATTCCTTGTATACCTTGACACATCCTACAATAGTACATCAATGTATGCCGAGTCTATACTGGGTCATGCGAACCCACAGACCATTCTGACCTGAAAAGCCAAGGCGTGGGGAAGTCTTGGCCAGTAGCAGCCTCGAAGCTTGACAGAATTGGCAGGTCGAATGGATCTATCACTAAAGTCATCCGACGATAGTCTCTCGGGCGAATGGATATTTGTCAAGCCGGCATGCCTTTTGTGAGAGTTCTTACGGTTATTCCCTCATGCGCCGACTTGAAGATGCTTCATCAATACTAAGGCTTCAAGTACGTGACTGTGAAAGGCGATGAGCTTCTTGGAGTCCCTCTGATCATGGTATCAAGAAAGGCTGATAATGAGGCCGCTTCGTATCTGCAAGATACAACACCGTGTCACTGACTCGTTAATACACGCGTGATGCACTCACTTAACAAGCAATACTACCTTCCATATCAAAAGCGGGATGATATCAATCAGAACATCATAGCACAAGCATGTAAAAGGCAGTTCACATACCCAAGCAAGCCTTAATAAATCTCGCAGCTCCCCAACTACCCCTCTTTACAATAGATAACAATCAACCTTCCTGCAAGTCATAAACAGCGGAGTGATAATTGATTGGCCCACCGTCTCCGCGTTGAGGGTGGTATTGCCGGGAGACATGGCCCAACATGGAAGGTCCCCAGATATGCAGGGATGTCGTGGTAGATCACACGGATGTCGTTCGTTAAAAAGAACCTTTGCCAAGAAGACGCAGGGGCCGTCGAGGCGCTTGCAGAGTGCAGAAATAGTCTGGCGTCTTTGTCTTGCAGATCAGAGTATATTGCGGTGTAGTGATCTGGACTATGGACTTCCTTTTGGGGCATGATTGCTTGGATAGTGGTGTTGGGATGGTAGATAGTGCCTTTTGTCCGCAGCCCTTTCATCCCCTATGCTAGTATGATCATATCTATGACTGCACCACTTCATTTCTAGCGTCCTAAATGCTCCGATGATGTGCTAAGAAGGTTTATCATGCTTAACCTTACTCTTAAGCTTGCAATAGTGACTAGTTACTAGTCTTCGGCGCATACATACCAATCAGGCTATACACTCCGCACCCTTTCCCCAAATTGTAAATCTACGATGGTTCGTCCCGAGCCGTTTATTCCCTCGGCTGTTGTTTGTCCGAGAAGACCTTCCTATCTCGCTGCCGCCGAGATATTGCGAAGATGACGTGCTAACCCCTAGCGGGACTGATGGCCAGGAATAAGTGACCCCAGATAGCAATGTCGCATGACTGTAGTGTTTGTGAGATAGTGCCTGGACAAAAGACCCTTCTTGCAGCGCTTATATCCCAGAACAGGTCAGTGGATAGTTATGAGCTTCTAGATATTCGAGGCCAAGATATACAAAAGTCCCGGTTGAATTGGGAAGTTGGAAAGAAGCGTGGATGACTGGAAGCATAGTATTGTAGACTGTAGAAGTATATAATAGATCCTTCGAACATGTCTATCTGAAATTCACGAACATCATCATCAACTCAGCACTTCACTCCAGTGCAATTCATCAAGATGCGTTTCTCCGACTCTCTCGTCCTCATCGGCCTCTCCAGCCTCGCTGGTGCTCATCCCAGCAGAAGGGCCCCTAACCCTTCACCGCTGAGCAAGCGTGGCCTTGACCTGGAAGCTTTTAAGCTTCCTCCCATGGCCGAGTACGTTCCTCAGGACGAGGTTCCTGATGATGTCAGCGCCAAGGTCGTCATCAAGCGCGCTGATTACACCGAGACTGCCAAGGACTTGGTCAAGTCGACTTTCCCCAAGGCTACTTTCCGTATGGTCACGGATCACTATGTTGGCAGCAATGGCATTGCGCATGTGAACTTCAAGCAGACTGTCAATGGTATTGATATCGACAATGCTGATTTCAACGTCAACGTGAGAATTCCGAAGTTCCTTGATGATCTGGATAAACTGACACGAATACAGATTGGCGCTGACGGCGAGGTCTTCTCCTACGGAAACAGCTTCTACGAGGGCAAAATTCCCGGCCCTCTTACCAAGCGTGACGAGAAAGACCCCGTCGACGCTCTTAAGGACACTGTTGATGTCCTTTCTCTCCCCGTTGAGGCTGAGAAGGCCAAGGCTGAGAAGAAGAGCAAGAACCACTACACCTTCACTGGTACCAAGGGTACTGTTAGCAAGCCTGAGGCTAAGCTCACCTACCTCGTTGATGAGAACAAGGAGCTCAAACTCACATGGAGAGTTGAGACTGATATTGTTGACAACTGGCTGTTGACTTATGTCAATGCTGCCAAGACTGATGAAGTTGTTGGTGTTGTTGACTACGTCAATGAGGCGACATACAAGGTCTAGTACGTATTTCCATAAATTGACGATTGGGAAAGAATTGACCAGTTTACCATAGCCCCTGGGGTGTTAATGATCCCTCCAAGGGATCTCGCAGTACTGTTGAGAACCCCTGGAACCTCGAGGCCTCCGAGTTCACCTGGCTCAGCGACGGCTCAAACAACTACACCACAACCCGCGGGAACAATGGAATTGCACAGGTGAATCCTTCAGGGGGCTCCACGTATCTGAACAATTACCGTCCTGATAGTCCTTCGCTGAAGTTCGAGTATGACTACTCCACCAGCACAACTACACCCACCACCTACCGCGATGCTTCCATCGCCCAGCTTTTCTACACAGCCAACAAGTACCACGATCTCCTGTATCTTCTTGGCTTTACCGAACAGGCCGGTAACTTCCAGACCAACAACAATGGTCAGGGTGGTGTAGGAAACGACATGGTTATCCTCAATGCCCAGGACGGAAGCGGCACCAACAACGCCAACTTCGCTACACCTGCCGACGGTCAGCCCGGCCGAATGAGGATGTATCTCTGGACGTACAGCACACCCCAGCGCGACTGCAGTTTTGACGCTGGTGTTGTCATCCACGAGTACACCCACGGTCTCTCCAACCGTCTTACTGGCGGTCCTGCCAACTCTGGATGTCTTCCTGGTGGTGAATCTGGTGGTATGGGCGAGGGCTGGGGTGACTTCATGGCTACTGCCATTCACATCCAATCCAAGGATACCCGCGCTAGCAACAAGGTCATGGGTGACTGGGTGTACAACAACGCAGCCGGTATCCGGGCGTATCCTTACAGCACCAGCCTTACCACCAACCCATACACTTACAAGAGTGTTAACAGTCTCAGTGGAGTCCATGCTATTGGTACTTACTGGGCTACTGTCCTGTATGAGGTTATGTGGAACTTGATCGACAAGCACGGGAAGAATGATGCGGATGAACCCAAATTCAACAACGGCGTTCCTACAGACGGCAAATATCTTGCTATGAAGTTAGTAGTGGATGGCATGTCGCTGTAAGTTATCTCTAGGATGTATAGGAGTTCTTATCTAACGTTGAATAGGCAACCTTGCAACCCCAACATGATCCAGGCCCGAGACGCCATCATCGATGCCGACACCGCTCTTACCAAGGGTGCCAACAAGTGTGAGATCTGGAAGGGATTTGCCAAGCGTGGTCTTGGAACAAGTGCCAAGTATAGTGCTTCCAGCCGCACTGAGAGCTTTGCTCTTCCTTCTGGATGTTAAGGGGAGAAGGGCCAGGACAACGAGTGGATGAATGAATGATGGTTACGAGATGGATATGAAGATATTGTGTTTATTGTTCTTGGTATATATGGATATGTTGTACATAGTCCCGTATGTTGATGTCGACTTTCAATTGCAATTAATGAAACTGACTCTGCTTTCGCTGATTGTTTCTACGATCAGGTAATTTTGAGTGGAAGTGGGTCTTGTCGTCTCATAAACTCATACAGACTTATGATGATACTTCTTTGATCTTCTAAAAGTCATTTCAGAGTCGTCCTAAACTCATCAAAAGAATAATCATAAGTCCGGCCCTCCACCTTTAGGAGTACAATGGCTTTGAGTAACAACTGAGCTCACCATGTACTTCCAGTCCAATGGAACATGTTGCTCCATTCTTCGGTCAGAGTTGCTTTATACCACACATCCAGGCGGCTGAAGAATCGGGTCTGGACTGCAACGTCCCAGGTTCAAAGTGCCAGCTGAGCCTTTCCGCCCCGGTGATTGCTAGATACAGAAGCGAATCCCAGTCGTGATTGCTCTAAATGTCTTTGTAGATTTTGTTGAGAACATCTCGCCCAGCTCTTCGTACTGTTCTTCGGTCGGAGTTGCCTTAGATTGGGTATACAGATAGCTCAAGAGGATTGAATTCAGATGTTCCAAGTTTAGAACCATTATTGAAGTCTGTCTCAACTAAGTTCTGTCTGCTGATTTAAGCTCTCAGCCACAAGTCTCAATTGCAAGTCTGTCTCAACAATGAGGTTGATTTCTATATTAATGTGTCTCTGAGTACTATAAATATAATGCCTGAAAATCGGTCTGCCATATTTTTGAACTTTTGTATCTAGTTCGCCATCTGCTCAATCTGTTCTAGTAATCTGTTCTTGTAATCTGTTCCAGTCTGTCATCTGCCCAGTCCGTCATCTGCTCAATCTGTCCCAGCTCAATCTTCGTCACTTTCAAGAGGTTCGTCCAGTTCATCTGCATCCTCAAATCTGTCTTCCACAACAAAATCTTCTACATCCCATTCTTCATCGGTGTCAATGTCATTCTGAGACCCAGATTTAAAACGCAGTGTTTCCATCTGTTGGTCAAATGGCCGAGGGAAAATGGTCTCGTCGACCAGACAAAGCGGCATCCTGACATCTGCCACAAGCTGCTTCAGCATGGGATAGTCGGCCTCCGCAAAACTGTGCTTTAAAAAATTGGACGATTGGGTTTCGATAAGGATATTGTTGATAGAGTCATCGGTGAATCGAATCTCGTCTGCAGGTGATCATTGTAGTGGTAAACTATTTCATTCTCTTACTTTCAGACACATGACTTCGATGTGGCACACCTACAAAAGCCGAAAAGTATTTAAGCCAAGCCTTCAGCATTCTCCCAACGTCTCCCTCCAATATTCCATATCGTATTCTTGTATAAATACAATTACGCTCAACTATTTCCTCAAACATCATATCAAAAATAGCAAAGCTTCTTGCTCCATTGAGCTAACCATGTGCACGACTACATTTATAAGATACTGGGGTTATTGTGGTCATTTGATAAGTACAGAGACTGTTGATAAGCTTTGCGACGCAGACAAATGCATTAGAGACTTCGATTCGAAAGACACACTTCTCTATAAAGAATGTGGCCCTTGTGAAGAGGCTCGGAAGAAGGAGGAGGAGGAGAAGTTGAAAGCGTAGCTTGAGTCATGATGGAATACGATGGCCTAGATTCGGAGAGGTTTAGGATGTCTCTTGACTCTTAACGACAGTAAGCTACCCGAATGACCATCGTTTAACTTTCATCCCCTGTATTTATTAGTGTGAATCCATGCGAATGATAACATCGCTGTAGAACTATATAAATCAGGCCTTGGGCCGCCCCTGTACTGATATTCAAACAATTAAAACTTCTAACTTACGAAAACCACATTAAAAGAACCAGTTAAAAATACAACTCTGCAGCAAATATGTGCAGAACAATACATACCTCGTCTTTGTGCCGGGTATGCTCCCACCGGATCGGCTTCAAGATAGACGGGAAGCCATGCCAGAACCCAGGAAATATGGAAAAAGGATGTACAGCCGAGTTTGAGGAGAAGACCGATTATCTATCTGTTGACTTTTGCTACAAGTGCCAGGAGAAGAAGACAGGCAAGAAATGAGGGTTATGGCGGATTGCTGCACGGAGGCGGGTGTTGATCACTCTATCAATTTGATGAATAGAACTTTCTAATAAATACAATCGAGTGACATTCAGAGTTGGAGAGTCATTGAGTGTCCCTCCGTAGCTTTAATGTCGAGTAGGTATTGGTTAAATCCGAGCATACTCACAGCCCAACAAGCATTATATGAACCCAGCCTACTGTTTGCTTTCTGGCACGCCGTACTTCAGACATATTCCATCAAATAAGTCATCATACAGAAAAAACAATAAACAATAAATTGTCTCCTTCCGTTGAGCCTACAGTCGCCAACATGTGCAAGACAATACGCATCCGATGTCAATGCCAAGATTGCTGGACCCTCGGCCATGACGATACGACTGTGGCGCCGTGCGGGACGCCAAAGGATAGGATGAAATGCAATCCGAGGTTACAGTCGTAAATAATTACTTTTCTCCTCTATGGTGTTCGGTTTGCGTGGAGAAGAAAAGGATGCAGAGGAAGTGACTTAAATCACTACAGCAACTAAAGAGTTAGTCACTATTTCTCTATTAACAAACGAGAAAGGTTCTCTTTTCAGTGTCTCCTAGACTCACTAGTGAATAAGTAAGTAATTTCTCTTCAGTGTAACTATTGTGAACAGCTCAAATCAGGGGCCGTCGTCTCCTCGTGGGCATAAATATGGCATTGCTTCCCTCGTAACTTTCTCGAAAGGAAAATAAACGGACAGATCCTACACGGTCAAGAAGTCGAGACAGGTACACAATCCGCCAACATGTGCAGCACCACGTTTGTGAGATACTACTGCAACGACAAAAAATGTGACTACTTGATCAGATACAAGCAGAACGAAACGCCGTGTGATGAGAAGAAAAAGTCTCCGCGGGCCAAATGTAAGATCGAGATTGATTCGAGAGATCAGTACATGCATTCGAGGGAATGCCCCAAATGCATTGAAGCGATGAAGAAGAAAGCAAAGGGGGATGTTTCGTGACGGCTGATCCATCCAGCATTGGAGGGGTCGACGAGGATGGTGAGACTTGATAAGAGCGAAGGATTGATCAAGTTAGCGGTTTTGGGAATAGCTTCGAATCAATCGGACGCCCAACTCTAGCCACTTGATAAGTTTTCCTGTCCCGTCGTACTTTACGACAAATAGAAATTAATGATGATGCATGTGGCATGAGCCTTGTTCTCCTTGCCGATCGTTTGATTCCCATGCTTATTGAAAGGTCTATTCTGGTGCATTGATGCTGCCACGTACTTGAGAAAAAACACGTAAGCTCCATATACAGAAACCTACCCGATCCTCCGTTGATCATCGGAAGTCGGTGATCCAAATCTCACGTCAGTCTCTCTCATTCCTTCACCACTTTGAAGAATTAGTTCCTCCCTCTATTCATTCCAAGCATTCCAACTGTCGCAATACTAAGTCAGTCAATATGTTGCTTCAAAACCTAGCAACAGAGGTCATCGAACTGATCGTACAGAATCTTCCAGTGCGCTCAGACCTCAACGCCTTCTGCCAAACCAACAAACGGTTTTACCTCATTGCCAATGACCTTGTGTATCATGAGGATGCGCACTGGAGGTGCAGAGCCCTCCAGTGGGGTTCTGAAGAGGGCCTCGTTTCAGTGGTAGAGAGATCTTTGGATCAAGGTGGTGATGTCAACTACATCATCAACGACGAAGACGAGACTGCTTTGTTTCCAGCTATAAGGAAACAGTACTGGAATGTTGTGGATCTGCTGTTGGCGAGAGGTGCTGATGTTCACCGCAGGAACAAGGTTGGGGATAATCTTGTGTACTTTGCGGTGACGACTGGCAGTTATGATCTAGTGAAGCTCATGCTGGATCAAGGTGTTGATCCAAATTCCCACGTCGATGGCGATGTTCCTCCTTTGTTGCTGGCAGTGCGAAGAGGATATCTCGATATCGTGAGATTGCTCTTTGATAGCGGGGCACATATCGATGATAGCGACGACTGGGGTGAAACGCCTCTGCATATCGCCGTAGGTGCGCCTCAGCATGACATCCTAAGCTTCTTCATCGAAAAGGACGTTTTTCGCAAAGACAAGACTGGGGCTCGTGGAGCTGATGCACTCGAGATGGCTGTCATACGAGGAGACATGCCAATTTTGGCATTGCTTCTTGAGGGCGGCGCTGACCCGCTTGTTCGAAGGTGGACGAGACATCATGCGATTATCACAGCGGCACTAGCTCGGGGAGATGATATGGCGATCTTGATGACAGAACGGTTGGTAGGAGAACCCGGTTTCATTAATGAGCATGGCAAGGAACTCCTCTGGTATGCCGTCAAAGGAAGATGTCAACGGTATACTCGATTCCTGTTGGACAAAGGGCTTGATCCAGAAACAGATCTATGGAGGGAAGTCGATGGCAGTATGGTAGGAGGTTCATCTCTGATAGTTGAGATGCTGGGCGCTGGAGTACTGACAGCATGAGATTGGATTGTCAGATGACAGGAAAGGGTTCCATCACAAGGAAACAGATACTGAGTATGATTGGCACCTTATTTATCCAAAATGCTCTCCTTGACAATCACAAAGAGATACACTGGCTTTCGATCTCAAAGGTTTTTTGTTCTATAATCAGTAATAACCCAGCTGCTGCCTCGACCTAGTTCCATGAATGATCTCAAGATCGCTTGTTCTTGATACTTTCATGAAGCCTATTAAGCCATTCCTTGAGCTCTTTTTCTTCTTGGTGTAACTCCTTCTTCTTCTTGTCAAGCTTTTCCAGTTTTTCTTGGACATCTTTGAGATCAGCTAACCTTTTGTTCCACATGCCTTCAAACCTTCGCAGTGTATATGAATCAAAAAAGCCAATGCGGCAGCTTTTTGGTTCAGATTTCTTATGGCTGTCTTCTTTTTGGGGGTCTTTCTTCCGTGACTCTTTTTTGTGAGAGGGCTTTTTGCTAGGATCCCTCTTGTGGGACTCTTTCTTGCGTGAATGTTTCTCGCACAAGTCCTCCTTGAATCTAACCTTCTTCTTTGTTCCATCATTCTTCAGTTCATCCTCTTCAGAGTCATCTTCCTGGCTTTGCTCCCCCTCAGGTTCGCCCTGGGTGAGAAGCTTGGGCATGTTCTGAGCGACATTCTCGGGTAATTTTTCAGCAGCTCCCTTCTTAATTGTGTGGCTCCCCGAAGCGTTGCTGTCTGCCATGATTTCGTTAGCCCTGTAGATAGTTACAGAGGTAGGCGCAGGTTTCGTTGAAGGTGTCCGGATCCTTGTTGTACGCCTAGATATGGGATCTGATATACAGGTGTGACTGATCAGAGTAGCTTCTCGTTCATATACTCGCTCGCCCCCTAGCTTCCGTAAGATTCACGACTTGCCAAGTCCAGCACTTGTTCATTACCAATCTTTTCTCAACCAAGGTTCCTTAGAGACGACCGACTACCGCGCAGCCAATCAGCTCTTTACACTTTCTTTCTCAGAGGTTTCAGAATACCTCAACTTTCAAATTCTGGTTCTTCTCCTTTCTCACTACGGCTCTCAGAATGTATCGTTGCTGATTCAAATCACTTTACAGGCGAAGAGTAGCCAGCATCTCGACGGTCGGAACGTCAATACCTTATATGTGTATTGCGTCATTGCGATGGGCGTTCACTCCTATCAATACGACATACATCCTTTCGCTTTGGATGCATAATCGCCAGCGATCCCACTGGCAAGTGCCAACAATTTCTCTGTTGAGGTTACAAGTTTCAAAATCTATGGTTCTACCCATCTCAACATCCTGGGTATTTATCTCCTCTGTAGCTTGGCCATCGACTTCCGGTGCCTCTTCTTAGTTTCCTTGAGATTCTTCTGCTCACGATCTCGATCTTCCTTCTCCATATCTAGGTTCCTCAGCTCCATTCGAAGTTCTCTGATATCCTCTTTAATCTCCGATTCCTCAACCTTTCTGCGACTTTTCTCTAGCCCTCTCTCAACCTGCTCCAACTTCTTAATCTCTTTCTCGGCATATTCTCCATCTAGCTCCAGTTTTGCCCTTTCAAATTCGACTTTATGGAGTTGCTTCTTGGTTTCCTTAACAGACTTGCCGTGTATCTTGAACGCATAAATGTCTAGTAAATGGGGGTAGTTTTTGTTTGGCATTGTTGTCGGAGACGAAGGATAGTGGTCGTGAGGTGAGTGACTGCCAGAGTATACTGGTTGAACGAGTAGAATAATGATGATTTAGATCTCTTGTGTTATAACGGCTGGATCTTTTATAGGAGCGTAAGAACTGGTGCGCAACTGCAATGCATCGGGGCAGCCTTGTTCAGATATAATCTTCCATGGCCCTATCTGGGGCCTATGTTCACTGCGGCTTTGCTCGCAAATCGTGGGTGGATCATAGACATCCTACTCTTCCGAGAACCCAAACTTCATCACTCTCGACCACCTTCCTGCACTTGACTGTAGATAGTCACTATTAATTCCACCAGTGACGGGTCCTTTGTCTTGTTCAGAGCCAAACCCCACAGCGATTCACGCCAAACTTGGTTAATCACCCCATTCGCAGCTCACCACTAGCAGTCATTATCCTCTCAGCCCGACTTTGTCTGTTTGTTCTTTTTTGGCTTCATTTGACTTGGTATTTTGTGATGGGTGCTAACTCAGGGTCGAGGCTCTTGCCTGTGAGTTGAAGAGGCTTTCGCGCCTCAGTTCACCGAGACCTTCATGATACTAGGCTTCTTCATTTCAAGCTCTGTGCAAGAACTATAAGGATTCTTTGGCTCAGATAACGTTCTCCCCATGGATGCATTTAATGACTCGCTCGGCTAATGTTTATTAGTGGAAATACCGTTGTAACAATGGTCCAGAAACATGTCTTCTCACCTCTTTACCTAAGAAGCTCTGTTCAACTTCTTAAACGGCTTTGGTTCTCTTAAACGATAACAACATAACTATTCCCTCGTTCAGAGCGCCTAGCATTCTACCTTCAATTTCCTTTCCTCTTTGTTTGAAGCGGATTCCTCACATAAGGAGTTCTGTCAACCAAGTGGCCTACGGTGGCAAAGAAAGAGGGTCGTCCATACACGGTTGTAGCATCTATCTTCTTTTTCTTGTGAGACTCCTCCATCTTTGATGGCTTGTGTGAGCCTCTTCCATGGGAGTCCTTCCTGTGAGGGTCCGACCTGCGTGATTCTAGTTTGTGTGAATCCTTTCGGTCAGAGCTTGACCGATGAGAGTCTTTTTTGTGAGACTCTGATCTGTGAGTTTCAGTTTTGCGCGAGTCTGTTCTATGAGACTCCCTTCTGTGAGACTCTCCTCCGTGAGTGTCTCCCCTGTCAGATCCCTTTCTCCGGGGCTCTTTCCCCCGTGAGCATCTACTGGGTGAGTTCTCCTCAATGTGAACCCTACTACCAGTTTGTCTAACTGGTTCATCTACCAAGGGTACGTTGTTGCCAAATACTTGCTCTTGAGAAACGCTCTCCCGAGATGTGCCCTTGTCAGGTCTAGGTTGATCGTGCACCTGCACATTCTTCGGCACGTCCTGGGGTATGATTGGAGGTGCATCTTTGGCCGTAACCTCTGGTGAGACATCGTTTGGCTCATCCTGAGGTTCAGTCTTGTGTTCATATACCACCATATCCGTAGGTGCATTCGCATCCAGGCTCTGCGTCATATCTTCTGGTGCGACCCTGTTGGCCAGATCGTTTTCTGGGGGTTTGTCTTCCGGCATGGTGGTATATGAAAGAGGGGAATAGTGGAACAATAGGAATTCCTATGCAACAGTTGGGTCGTCTTATTCTTTGTTCGTATGGTGGTTGATGAAGAACGACAAGAGTGCAGAGCAATGTGGCCTTGATATAAGACTGCACCAGTCCATGTCACAATTTGATTGAGTGCATGTACCATCCGATGCGCGATGAATCATGTACATTCTTCCGTCGTTTGTAACTGATCACAGTCATGCTTTTCTGTTTCACTGAGCATATTTCTGTCGTATCAGTGCCGAATGCTTCAGCGCTTGTGGCCTTTTCAGAGTCAAAGATAGTATAGCTGTCGCTGAGGACTCAGCTGATGTCCTATTCACATTGTTCGTCCTCGTCTACCGGATCTTACCAAACCGTCCACAGATACTTCAGTCGATGTTCAATACGCTTCTGTTTTCCTCATCTGTGGTTGCATATGATATAGCTATACTCCTGTACAGTTATTCCAGGATTTAGGCGATATTGTCTCAACCATGTTCGTCTTGACCCCAAGTAGCTTCACACTGCTTTATAAACAGAGCCGTTGGTGTGAAGTCTCTTCCTTACTGCAATGACTCGTGTCTCTCTTTGAAGTGCACCGGTCTGAATCTAAGCCCACCTAAGCTGCTTACCTCACTGGACGATATCTACTCTTCTTCCAGTCCTCATAATTCCGCCTCTCTTCCTCCCTCATCCAGGCCTCATACTCCATTCTCCGACGACGCTCCTTCTCAAGATCTTCTTTCCAATCTTCCCAAGCCATCTTGTTCATTATAAGCTCTTCCCTTTCGTCCTCCAGCTTGTTTAGCAACTCTCCGCTATCGGAACTCTTGGTTTTACCACTTTCCAACCTTCTCCTCCCACTCTTCAACGCCTTGTGTGATGCTCCTTCTCTTTTTGATTTCTTGATGACAAGTTTGAGCTTCTTGTTTTTCTTGTCTAGATTTTCCTTCTTGACCCAGAGAATATCTATCTCCTTCTCAACTTCAATAATGATATTTTGTATATCTTCGATGTTCTTCCTTGCGAGGTCGAGATTCCTTTCCAGGTTGCCGCTTGGTTGCTCATACTCATCGCGAGACGGGGCCTCCTCCACTATGATTATCGCTCGGTCGGACATGTTGAATCGAGACTTATGTAAGATGTTTGAGCAGGAGTATCCTGTGTTGTCGGTAGCTTGTTGTATGCGGTTGAATAGCTATGAGTTTACTGCCACTTAGTGGAACCAGCCTCGCAACTTTATACCGAGGCCATTCACCACACAACGGGAATCACAATGGCTCTTGTTCATGTGTGCTGACCATTGTTCACCCTTGCGGCTTAGAGATGATGATGAACAGTCCTTGTGTGGACATTCTATCACGAGCAGCTGGGGTCTGTGTGCACTGAACATTCGGCTCAACCACAAATCCACTACAATGCCCGAATCGAGATTTAACACCTGGTAGTTCCGATATTTCATGTCAATCACTTCAAGTCAATCGCACACGTACTAGTAAAAGTCGTGTTCTATTCTTCTGTTCTTTTTCCTTTGCCGCCTCGTGTCCTATCTTCTGAGAGGTGTAAGAAAAGGTAGCAGTGGCAAAATAGCCATTCCATCCCAAGATCAATATAAGATCGTATGAAAATTTCACTGAAGTTGTGATTTAAATCACTAGAGAAGAACTAAGTAATCCTTTATATCCGGTCCTCTTCCAAGTCCCTTTACAGGCACCGGGCGAGACTATCCCTCTTCTTGGCGATAGACTTCTTCTCGCGCTTCGTTTGCTTCAAGGCACGCTTAATCTCCTTCAAATCATGGACCCTGCTACGCAGCGTTCTTTTGGTATCGTCTATATCCCTCCGCTTTCGCCGTGTCTTACGTCTCAGTCGCTTTACCTCATCTTCCGCTCTTCTCACTCTCTCCTCCGGTAGATCTCATCGATCTCCGCACGTATGCCATTCAGCCTCTCATTCAGCCTATTAATGAGTGTTTATGTTTCCCATCTTGCCTTTCTAGATTGGGACCGGTGTTGGTGATATGTGGATTGCGAGACATGTGATTCCTTTCAGCGGCGACTCCAGAACATGGTCTGTGTAGTTATCCAGCGAGTGTAGAGACCGGTAGTTGTCGTTTGTTTGGATCTGTCTTGGCTTGAGGACCGACTCAGAAATCATGGGATGGCTGGGGTCTTTTATGGGCCTCTGGATCTGAGACCAAGAGGGAATGGATGATGGTCACTCATAGCCAGCGCAGTGAAGAAGTCTCCAAGGCGTGCTCGTCACTGGCACTGCCTCTATCGCAGTCCGTTCACTAGATTCTGTAGAAAACTAAGTGGTGATTATCTGCCACTGGTCCTAACTGCAAATGACAGCAGGTTCATACAAAGTCGTAAACCAAGGTCTATTAGTTACAAACGTTTCCTGTAGTCATCTTAAGAATTGCAATGGGTTCGCTAGTAACTATCCTGCTTTGTTCATAAATTTCCATTTCGTATTCCGTCTCCGGTTTCTTGTCTCAGGCACTTAAGAAAAGGCAGCAGTCACTACATTGCCATTTAATCACGAGATCAAATAAAGAATCGTTTCAAAATCCAATCAGTTTATAATTTGAACTTAGCAGGTATAGAGCTAAGCAATCCTAATTTCTCTCTTCCCCTCTAGCCAGCTTCTCTCCCAGATCCCTCACCTGCCCTGCTGAAAACGCCACCTCTGTACGATTATGTCCTCTTCCTCTTGCCTAGTTTGTTCCACCATAAGTATAGTCCGTTCCATGGTGTCAACCATCTTTCTCAACTCCTCTTTAGCCTTCTCTATCGTCTTCTTTGATCGTCTGTCGTGTTTCAAGCGGTCTATTCTCTCGTTCATTTCCTTCACCTCTTCCACCTCCTTGGCTTTCTGGATATATATCTTCTCTAACTCCAGACGTACGCGTGCCAGTTCTTCATTGAACCTGTCGTTTCCTATTTCTCTCGGACCTCTTACCCCACTGGCTCCGGGCTGGGGTTGGTTATCTATGGGCCGTGGTTCATTGGATCGTGGATCCATGGTTCTTGGACCACTGGGTCGTGGTTCCATGGGTCGTGGGCCATTAGGTCGTGAGTCACGAGATCGAGGGTCATTAGATTCCCTACGGTGGCGATGCGACGACATGGTCTGTGGACGTATTTGGTGATTGTAGAGATGAGCGGATTTGTGTCTTTGGTAATGTGTCTGTGTTTGACAGCCGACTGAGAAAGCTTGGGGTGCCTCGGGTATTTTATGGGCTTGTCAGTTGCAACGCAGAGGGCTGCGATCACTCAGAGCAAGCGCAGTGATGAAGTCCTGTGAGGCGTACTCATTACCATCACTTTCCCTATCGTGACTTGTTCACAGATACTTGTCCTCATGTGCAAACAATCACTTCTGTGCCTAAGACTTCTGTTGTCTGTCACTGCGCTGTCGACTAGCAGGATGCGCTGACATATCCTCCCTTGATTCGGGGCCTGGCAGGATCTCGGCTCGGTTACTCTGTGCTCTGGTTCAAGGCAACGACGATAGCATCAACAATGATACTGCTTCAGGGCATACGGCCTGCCGCTGTCCTCGGCGATGTTGCACGAATTTATATGTCCGTGACGGGCTTGCGACAAATGGAACCATGATACACAGTATTTGACATAAGTGAGTAAGTATGCATCCCGGCGCTGGCATGCATACCTGATTTTCCAGACCATACCGGTTCCAAGTTCTTTGACAGATAAAAGCCCCAATCAGATCTAACTATCCAAATACCTCTCTAGCAAAGGCACATCGCCAAACGCGTAGCAACTGCCTTCGTCAACGTTCTTAAATACATTAACATCCCATGTCTTCAAACCGCCACCAAGGCCAATCCAAATCCGTACGACACGGAGCAAACCCAACCCAGCCACAAACAACCAGAATTGATTTCGCAATGTTAGCAAGGCTAATCAGTCTCGAGAAAATGTTCTTGCATCAGTGTGCAACGGCGGAGTCGCTATTGTCGCGACAAAAGGTTGTGGTGGATAGACTTCGGTCGTTGGTAGCCGAAGCGCGAGAGGAGCCAAGTAATCGACAATCAGACCGAGATATAGTGGATATTGTCGGGGAATATCGCCAGGACTTGAAAAAGTTCGAGGGCTGTTTGAAATCAATGCGTGAATTGTCGGGTGAGGCAGAAGACATAGCAAGAGAGCAAGAAAATGTATTGGTGAAGATCGCGAAGGAACAGATTCGTCAGCAAGAGGGAAAAGCAATCGAGGATAACTGAGATGTGGACTTGGGAATTTAAGAGCGCTATTGCTTGGCTCTGGAGATGATATTAATTTACTGAACTTTCGCTTGCGCGAGGCTGTGAAAACAAAAGAAAGAACACGCTATGGGTATGATGTAGCCAACATAATAAATACCAAAACGCCTGCTCAAAAAAACAATGCTGGGTATCCTGGCGCCACCAATCAGAAAAAAATCACTTTTTTTGCCTCTTCATGCCCAACGCCGTACAAGCTATTCCACTGCGCGAGTCTTCCACGCAAGGACAGCTTTAGGCGCGATCGACCAGACCTTCTTCTTGGGCTCCAGATTCGTATCCTCCTCCGCATTATAGCCAACCCACTGCACGCGATACTTGTTCTTCTCTTCCGCTATTATTCTGAGTATTTTGTACATCTGGAATTTCGTCGCTTCACAGCGCCCACCGATGCTGCGCCAGTAGTTGAGGACGATGTCTTGGTAGTATTTCTGAAGATCGATTTCTTCCGCCCAGCCACGAGACCAGGTGTCGGTTGGGCTGAACTTGAATTTTATCCGGAAAGAGACGTCGCTTGTTTTCTTGTTCTGTATATGAGATTCTATTTGGATGTCGTAGGCGCCGATGAAAATCAAATCGTCGTAGTCTTCCGCGACTTTGGTTTGTGAGCGAAAGTTGACACGTTGAAGTGGAGTCAACATACATTCTTCCTCAGGCGTAGCCATGAGAGAAAGATATGGCTCGAGCACTAGGAAGGTAAGTAAAACGGCTTATAAATCAGTCTGGGGGGCGACCTCACCTTTTTTAGACATTACTATTGAGATCGCTGTGTCGCGATGAAAGTTGCGGCAGAATCGGATGAAAAGTTTGCTATCCAAGGAGTGTCGCCAAAAGTAGTTGATTTGAGTTGAGTTGAGAGATAGGTATAACGAGAGGAAGGGGAATAGATATTAGTATAGCCGAGCTGTAGAATCGCGCTATTGGGTAATGACAGAAGTGAACAAAGAAGTGTGATGCAGACGCAGAGTTCTGCCTGTCTGATGAGGTGTCAACAAAGGCGCTTCCGCTGTGTGACTAACCCCGGTCAGAGGCGTTTGGCGGCAGTTTCGGTCACTCTCACATCACTACTCAACATGAATGAGAACTCATGACAACGAACGTGAAGTGAATTTAGTTTCCTGGAGAGAAAATGGAAGTAATGGTGAATGCGGGAAATTGGACAAACATTGTAGTCGTCATTTCGATATTTTCGTTTGGTGTAACGTTGTGAGACAGGCCCTAGCTGAGGTGACCAATCATCCGCACGGGAAATTATTGAGGTTCCGGAGTGTGAGGATGGCTGAATTTGAGTCACAGGTTGGGCGGCGTTTACTGAAGTGGCGTCTGATATGTCAGAATTTAGATAGGAGGAGGAGGAAGTGCCAAGTTGTCGGGTGTTCTAGAAGAGAAAGATAGGATCTTTATTTCATTCACCACTTATCTCATTCTGACATATTCCTTTCTCCGTCGCCTTGTCTTATGTCTCAAAGACAAAGCTCAAGGCGACGATCTGAGTTTGCTGGCTGGAAATCTATTGACTTTGTATTGGTTTTTGAGGAAACGACCTGGCGGTACAATCACGGTGTTATTTTCTTGTAATAAGGTTATTTAATTTATGCCTGATGAAAAATACGAGAGAGGCTTGCTGCAGGAAGAGTGAGCGCCAGTTCCTGGTGAGTTGGATGTCAGCCTGGAACGCGATTGTCGTTACGTCGCGTCGCGCTAGAAGCATCTCGCCATACGAGCAGTCACTCCTTGCTATGCCTAAGGCGGATGCTCACTTTTGCTTTGATAATGACATCATGGCTAATCTCCGTTGTTTTCAGTGGAGTTTACATCGCTGCCTGCACAAACCAAAGCACTTCGAAATCTAAACTCGGCAAGGGTTAAAGTGAAGATCTTGTTTTCAATCTTGGTGTTGCGACGTTTAAATGGCCTTGTAAATCCAGCCAGCAAACCACTCTTCTTATCAATAGCAAGAGAAACATTTAATATATGTTGATAGAGTTAATGTAATATCTTCATCCTGAAAATACTTTCTTATTATAAATTCCAACATCTCAGAAATACAAACACAAACATGCAGGGTAGGAAACGGTAACAAATCCTTATCTTATCCTTATCTCCAGGCCACCCCACCACGACCAGAGAACGATTGATTGGTCAGTGTCAGCATTAGTAATTCTCTCAAGCGCCATCAAAGTTCACCATCTCATCACAATTTGCGATGTGGCTTGGCCCAGTTACAGTGTCGCTCCTTGCGACGATTAGCCATGTCGTTGGCCAAGATCAAAAACCGTTAACAGATGAAGCCGTGATTGAACCCGTTTTCACTGTCCGCGAACAATCTTCTGACCTCTGCGATGCGGGCGCTCGCCAATTCACCGGGACGGTCAACGTGACGGATGATAAGTCCATGTTCTTCTGTAGGTACACAGGTTTTGACTGAGTTTGGAAACTGATGATGCAAGGGTACTTTGAGAGTCGCAATAATCCAGAGACTGATCCTTTGTTACTATGGATGAGCGGGTAAGCAAACCTTAAACGCCAAGTCAAGCCAAACTAACGCAGGTATCAGCGGACCGGGCGCATCTGGAGAAATGGGATTATTCATGGGCAGTGGTCCCTGTACCGTGAATCCCGATGGGAACTCAACAAAACGAGCTGAATACTCGTGGATCGATCACGCCAACGTCGTTTACATCGAGTATGTCCCAAAACCAGCCTCACCGCTCTGACTGACACTTGATAGTCAACCCGTCGGCGTCGGCTTCTCCAAAATCACAGACCGAAACAAAATCGCCGTTAGTCTCGAACAAGGCGCGAAAGACGTACATACCTTCCTCTCCACATTCTCCCACGACGTATTCCCCAACCTCGCCGGAAAACCTTGGCACATCACTGGTGAATCTATGGGCGGCCACTACGTCACAGGTTACACGAAACATATCGTCTCTCACGAACGCCAGAACGCGAAGCGCGGCATCAAGCCTCGGGTCGAGATCTCATCTGCGATTATCGTGGATGGGTATATTGACGCGACGCAGCAGTTCATGGGATATTATGACTTCTTTTGTGAGGATTGGGCTGGTGATGGAAGGAAATATCCGTTGATGAATCGGACGGCTTGTGAGAATATGCTTGCTGCGATACCGGAGTGCCATAAAATGGGGAGTCAGTGTCGGTACTTTTATGATATAGAGACTTGTCGCGCGGCAAATGAGGTTTGTGAGAAGTCGTTGGGAGAGTACTTTATGGAAGGCGTCGTGCCTGGTGGCTGGGATCCTTATGATAGTGAGTATCCCACTTTTATCGCGTCGTACAGTACGAGTGACACGAAGTGTACTGATATTTGGCAGACAGACACCCGTGTGAGAAGCCTCCTTTGTGCTCGAACATGGACCACGGACCGGAATGGAAGTTCCTGAATCGTCGTTGGGTTCAACAAAGACTTGGATTCGACCGCTTTCCATTTTACCTTATCGACTTTGATACCAATGAGCGCTGGGATATTGCGCAGAATATCCATATACCTGTTACGCGCGAGTTGACGTGGATTCTTGACGAGACGGATATACGAGTTCTGTTCATCAACGGCAACAACGACATAATCATGTAAGCACTTCCAACGCGTCTCTACTTGACCTGCTCGCTAACCTTTGTAGTAACACCCCCGGACAAATGCGCATGCTGAACCAACAGCGATGGAAGGGGCAGGATAACTATCGGGAACTTGGCTACGAAACCTGGCACTACAAGGACGGCGAACTAACATCTGATGCTGATGGTTGGAATGTGAAGGAGGGAGGCTTCTGGAAGGGGAATGATCAGTTGAGTTTCTATGCTGTTGATGAAGCGGGACATATGTCTCCTTATCACCAGCCTGAAGCTGTTGGCGCGATAGTTCGAGCATGGCTTCGCAATGACTGAATTCACCCTCGTTCGAAAATCATATCAGAAACTCTCACATAACAATGTTATTCCGCTTATCTAGAGTACCGATCTCGTCTAAAGTCTAGCCTGCTTCGTCACCAACTCTCTTCCCTCCCTATCCGCACTCCTCGCATCCTCAACAATCATATGCGCCGCCTTTTCAGCGATAGCGTAAACAGTAGCTTGGATATGCGCACTGATCTGCAACGGCATAACACTTGCGTCAACAACCCTCAAGCCATGGACGCCATAGACTCGAAGTCTTTCATCAACGACTCCTCCTTCGATGCCAGCACGACCGCCCATGGCGCATGTTCCGACAGGATGCCAATCCGTAATGGTGTTTTGAGTAATCCATTCTCCAAGACGCTTATCATCTTTGATAACGGCAGTGGAAGGGGATGCTGAGGAGCGGATTATGTTTGATAGAGGAGCTGTGTGTACGATCTTATCGACGAATTGAAGACATTGCTTCATAGCCTCCATATCCAGGTTTCCATGGAGACCCTCGTAGTATTTCGGATCGATGGCGGGTGAATCTTCAGCTGTAGCGTGGTCACTTGGCCGAATGTGAATAGATCCAACGCTGAAAGGATACTGTAAGATCTGCAGCATAGTGCCGTACTTCTTACCCTCTTCACCCTTGAAGTTAGGGTTCCAGTTCCCAAGATCAAATATATACTCTATCTGACCAAGTTTAGAGTTTCCATCCAATCGTTCACGAAGAATATCTTGCTTGTCCGAGTCAAACACAGATACCTTGTCTGCATCTTCATAAAGACTAGCAAGAGTATTCTTTGGAACAAAATGCGCAAAAGGGACGTAGCAAAGAGACACAGGCAGCACCGTCAAAGGGCCATCTGCCTTGGCCGTATACTCCTCTTTCGCAGCAGCACTAAGCTTCTCATCTCTCATAAGATCATCCCGATTAGCGAGCGATGGATCAACCTCAAAGATCGTCGCAAGCACTGGATAACACAAATTAGCTCAAAACGCCGATCACAAAAAACCTTCTCACTCACTAATATGCTCCTGCAGATTCTCCCCCACCTGCGGACTCTCAACCTTGACGCTCACGCCAGCACTACTTAGAACGCTGGGATTTCCTATACCCGAAAGTTCAAGGATCTGCGGTGACTTGACACTCCCGGCTGAGAGGATTACCTCGCGTCTAGCTGAAACATCATACTCGACGCCACCGTACGTGAACCGCACACCAGTGGCTACGAGCGCTTGGTTAATGAGAATCTCGTCAACCGTGGCGTTGGTAAGGATGTGCAGGTTACGCGATCCAGTGGCGTAGTCGATCGAGTAGGATCTTCGCGCGGCGCTCGGCTCAACGGCGTTGACGCATGTCCAAACGCCGACGTTTGAGCCTCCGACGTGGGATGGGTTAGTCTCTACACCAAGCGCATTAAGCGTCTTGTGCCATAACGCGTGCGATGGTGAATACGAGGTTGGGTATGATATGTGAATGGGACCTGAATCACCAAAGGTGTCTGCGTCGTGAGATATCTCAAACTCGCGCTGGAGTTTCTCACTAGGAGGATGGAATGTCTCGGAGCGTTTGAAGAAAGGCCTTTTACATAACGAAAACGATCAGCTTCAGCGTCTCATCCAATAAAACAAGCATAAACTCACAGAAGAGAATCCCAGCCCCAACCTTGATTCCCCAAAGCTTCCCAAGCATCATAATCATCCCTGCTAGCGCGATTCCACGCCATATAGTTCAGGGCGCTTGTGCCGCCGACACACTTCCCCCTCGGCCACGGAAGCGTTCTCCCCCCGAGACCCTCCTGAGGCAGCGTCTCCAAGTGCCAATCGTAGCTACCTCCAAGATTCCTACCATAGTGGCCTGGGATATCAACATCAGGATCATTCTGCACAGGACCTCCTGCTTCGATGACACCGACAGTGTATGAGGCGTCGGCTTCAGCGAGACGCGCTGCCACCGCTAGTCCAGCTGTGCCGCCGCCTATGACGATAAAGTCAAAGACGAGCTGTGTGAACTGGTCAACAGTGCGAAGAGAGGGGTTGACGCTCATGATTGATGATTAATTTTGGGTGTTATCCTTTTAGTGTAGAATCGTGCGGTGCTACCAAGCAAGTGAGACAGTTATAACGCCTCTTGTGAGAGCGGGAAGATTGCTGAAGATTTCGGAAAAAAGCGCGGAGACGACCCCCGCTGCTAGACGAGCCAATAGCACCCCTACAGCGAGTGAGTGGTTTGGGGGAATGTGCTGATTTCTTGGTACGGGGTATAGAGACAACAGCGCCAAGCGATTCTGCAGAACGAGATCCGACGTAACCGAGAATCCTGGCTGCTTTCTTTTTTTTTTTTTTTTCCTTTTTTCCGCGTGCAAACACATACCAGGTTCATGGGGCGTTATCTGCAGTTACGAGTCTCCTGATGGAATATTCTGTTGGTTGTTAGCTTCCTCTTTGGATACGTAAATGGTTGGCTCCTGTAAGAAAACACCAGGATTGAATCCACGAGCCACAATCGTTACACGAGCAATATTAATTAGAAAAGGGTCCTGCAAATGCTAGCTGCGAGTTACTAACCCAAAGAATCACGCAATCCGACATACTTTTAACCCCCAACGTAACTGTTCTCCATCAACATCTCAACTGCCGTGAGCCCAAGCATTAACCCTCCCCCCAAAAAGGTCCCTTCTAGATCTTTACAGTACTACGTTAGTGTAACGGGGCAGATTAGCTTTTAGCCCGCCCACCATCGTATGACAAAAAAACTCTAAGCTTTTGCCCAGCCGGGATCACCCCCCACGGCCCGGGCAGGGGTCGGATGCGGGCCGGGGACACCGGATCCTAGAGGATTTGGACGGTAATTGGATCTGCTAAGACAGAGTTTCGACTGTCTCTTTCTCTTTTCTTTCCCCGGGGAGCGTGGCTGCGCCGTTGTGGGAGCCGATTGTCTCGGACCATACTTACCTTATCAAGCGGTTTGTTCCTTTGCAATATTCGTGTTTTGAGTATTAGGTGCAAGCCACTTCCGGTGGTGGTTTTTCTTCATCTGCCGCGTCTAGCTTGGAGTGAACGGGTAGTGGGAGGGCTACGGAAGTACACTACACGACGGGGGCTTGTTCAACAGGTTGTTGGTGTTGGTTCGTGGCTTTTGAGGCTGTTGGTGGAATCTGTACATACCGAGATCAAGATCGTCACTGTCAATCGACACGTTCCGATTAACTACTGCCTATCACTTCGATCGTCTCCAACAACTGACTTCCAAATCCATGCTTTTCTGATGTGCCGATCTAAGCGCAACTCTCTGCCAACGTCTTCATCCCAGTATGAATGCAAAAAAGAAAAATGCAGGGGAAACGACTAGCCATGCAGACTGCATTCTTCCCCCCTGCCTCCTGGTGTCAAGCTGAGATTATTCCTGCAATTTGGGTTCACGACCATGTTCGTCGTGCCATTTTCCCGCGCCGGCGATAAAGCTTATCGTTTGACAGAAACTCAGGGGTGCTTCGAATCTTGGGAGGACATTTAGATTCATCTTTCCGGAGCAGCCAACTGTAGCGTCCGTCACTCATTCATTCATTTTATATTTTTCGCTATGGATTTTCTGCACAAGTTGTTGGTTGAGTCTTGGGTTCTATGGGTGTTGGGTCTCTTTGTCGTTGTGTGTCGACTGTAAGCCATCCATCACCACGCGTGGCTTTTTGGGGCGTTTTTACTGACATGTTTGTTCTTGCAGGATATCACGACGCATGAAACTTAGAAAATGGAGTCGTCTCGCCATTGAAGATTATCTCATGGTCTTTGCCTTCGTATGTTTCATCCATCAAACTCACCAACAAACCGTTACTAATACTCGGGCTGTAGGTCAACTTTACAGGAGTTGTCGTCTCGATCAACGAAGTCGCCGAGAAAGGCAGTAACTACATGCCCGCTGACGTCGCCGCAAAGCTCACCCCCGATGGAAGACAACAAGCTATAATCGGGAGTAAAATGACCTTTGTACTCGAAATATTCGCACTTACTTGTACATGGACCATCAAAGCGTGTCTTTTGTTTCTGTACGCGAGGTTGACGCAGGGCACATCGATAAGACAGAAATGGGCAGTACGATTTGTCTCTGCGTTTTGCGCGGTCACGTACATCGTTGTTACCTTCATGTTTGTATTTTTTTGGTGTTCGCCTACGCCTGAATATTGGTCTGTTCCTGTTAACCCCAAGAAGAGTGAGTCTTTCGAGAATGGTTTGGGGAGGGATTGAGCTAATTGGTGCAGTGCAATGTGCGACGTATTACAACCATATGATCTTTGCGACGGCTTGCAACATCGCAAGCGACATCATGCTGATCTTATTACCGATCCCAATTGTCATCAACATCAGTCTCCCCAAGAAGCGCAAGATCGGTTTGTGCTGCGTTTTTGGCCTCGGTTTGTTCAATGTAAGGTTCTTCTCCAACCCCTCTTGACATGCGCTAATAGTCCAGATCCTCGCCGCCGTCCTCAACCGTTACTACAACTTCAGCAACCCCAACTCCTACGTCTTTCTCTACTGGTACGTCGCAGAAGGCGGCGTCGCCCTCTGGGTCGGAAACCTGCCTCTCTGCTGGCCCGTTCTGCGTCTCGCCATCGGCTCCAAAGGCGATTCCACCGACCCCTCCTCATACCCCAACACTCCATACCGCAACGGTTCATACCCCGAAGGTTCAGCGCGACGGAGAACTCAAGGACTTCACCCGCTGTCAAGCAAACCTTCAATCTGGGCTAAGTTGGAGGATGAGGATGGCGTGCGCACTGACGTTTCGCCAGAGCAGGGAAGCCAGATTGAGCTGGTGGACCAGCATGGACCGGATCTGCTGCAGCGGCCGTACCGCGCTGAGGCGAAAATTAGCAGTGGGACGCAGCAGCATGAGAGGGCTCGTAGCGGACAGATTACAGTTGTTACGAGCGTGGAGGTTAGCACGAAGCAGACGTAGACTATTTCATCAATTGTGTATTACTTAGACTAGCATGAACATGTTACAACGACTTTACTTTTATACGAACATGTTTTATTCCCTCATCGCCAAGTCATGAATCGCCAAGAATAAAACCGGCATATCTTTAGTGCCCGTAATGGAGATTCAAGACCCCTTCCCTTCCCTCCCGCTCCGCGGCGTAGCCATCACGGTTCCGCTCCAACCGATCCTTACCTCCCCTCTAAACCCATTCCTGCTAGCGCACACGGGGGATGGTTTCATTGCTAAATTAACTACATGGACTAACGGACCTAGACCTTAAAACCCTGGTTATCAGCTTCAAGCCACAACCAACACCAATACCATGGACCACTCAAGCATGCATGCATGAGCTTTTTACCGTCAATGAGAGGTCGGTAACATTCCGTCTCCCATTCCCATCCGTTCGCTCCAACCGAGACAGCTTACATGGGTTCATTATCTGCAAGACAAAAACAAACTCTGTTTGCATTCCCTTTTTCAACTCCTGCAACGCAACCTCTTTACCACACGGACTCTGTGTGCCGTGCATACATTTCCTTTTTCCTCTCCTGTTTAATTTCCACACTGCGGCCATTGACCTCATAATGTCTCTACCAACACACACGGCAGAAGCCACGCATGAGAAGTCAGCGACCGTGAGCTCATCACCCACGGGCGATGAAAGCTCAAACCCCCCTAGCATCTCCCTGTCGTCCTTCCAGAAGCTGAATAATCGCATCGAAGGCCTCGCTGGGCTTGAAGCCCGAGGTATTGAGCGTGTTCTTCCAGAGGAACGACAAGAAGCTTCTAGTGCTGCTGACTTGCAGGTTGCGGTGCTATGGTTCAGTGCGAATCTGTCGCTGAACAACCTGGCGACGGGTCTGTTTGGACCCATGGTCTTTGGCTTGGGATTTCTTGATAGCGCGTTGCTTGCTGTCTTTGGAACGATTCTTGGGGCTTGTTCAACGGCGTACATGGCGACTTGGGGACCGCAGAGTGGGAATCGTACCATGGTAAGTGTAAATGTATCGGTGGTGATGGTGTTGACTGACACGCTGTGACACAGGTTGTTCTGCGATACTTCATGGGTTACTGGCCATCTAAGCTTCCGACATTCCTCAACATCGTTCTCATGGTCGGATATGCTACCATTGACTGCATTATCGGTGGACAGGTCTTGTCAGCCGTCAGTGGCGGAACCATGACCATCTTGGTTGGCGTCATCGTCGTCGCTATCGTCTCATGGGTCGTCGCCGTCTTTGGCATGAGGATCTTCCATACTTATGAACGGTACGTCTCCATTCATCCATTATGCATGCGCATGTACTGACGCGGCACAGATACGCTTGGATCGCTCAGGTCGTTGTCCTTGCCGTGCTTATCGGCGTTGCAGGGCCCTCCTTCAATGCCGCCGCTAAACCCACTGTCTCTGGCAATGTACTCGCTGCCAGCCGATTGTCGTTCTTCTCCCTCTGTTTCTATGTCCCCAACTCATGGGCTGCTGCTGCTTCTGACTTTTATGTCTACTACCCGGAGCGCACTTCCCGCCTCAAGGTCTTTTTGCTCACTGTCACTGGATTGACAGTGTCGTTTACCCTTGTGTATCTCATTGCTATTGGTCTTGCTACTGGTATTGTTGATAACAAGGCTTGGTCTGATGCCAATGCCATCAGCACTGGTGCTCTCATTGTCGAGGCTTATAGTCCTCTTCATGGCTTTGGCAACTTCTGCTCTGTTATCATCGCCCTTGGTGTCATTGCCAACAGTACTCCATCTTTGTACTCCGCCTCACTTGGATGCCAGGTTCTCGGTCGCTATACTAAGGCTGTTCCACGATGGGCCTGGTCAACCGTCATGTCTGTCATCACTCTCGTCCTCGCTATGGCCGGTCGTGAAAGCCTGTTCGTTGTTTTCCAGAACTTTGTCAGTCTGATGGGTTACTGGGTCATGCTTATGATTTGCATCGTCATGGAGGAACATTGGTTCTTCCGAGGTCGCCAAGGTTTTGACTGGACCGCTTGGGAAGACAAGAACTATCTTCCCATTGGTCTTGCTGCTCTTGCAAGCTTCATCATCGGTTGGGTTGGTGCTATCCTCGGCATGTCCCAGGTTTGGTACATCGGTCCTATTTCTAAAGCTGCTTCTAATGCGGATTTGGGAATGTGGCTGGGTTGCGGATTCGCTATTATTGTCTTCCCTGTCTTGCGATACTTTGAGCTCAAGATTTATAAGCGATAGAGGAGACGTACGCGTATGGGGCATTTGAAAGGGGTAAAATTGTAATTGGATTACTTCAAATCCCATAAATAAATCAATATCAAGACAGACGTTCTGCCATCCAATTCGACTACAACCTACAATCTGCTATAGTTACCCGACTAACCTGAGCCATTTGAGTTGTTGAGTCCATTCCCCCAACTCATATTATGTAGTGCATGACGGGTTCATTCTCACCATATCGAAATGAACCAATCGGCTACTACAAAATGACCCTACAGCCTTACTTCGTCATCGCTTTACAATGAATCAATCTCGTTTTCCGTCTTGATTGATTGGGCTTCAAGTTTGCGCGCCCCCCTACAGGTCTGACCCTCTGCAACTGAGTGAAACTCGATCCCTCAAACCAGCGGCTACTCTCTGACCACTTCCTGTTTAACTCTTCCCCCAAATGACTTACCATTGGGTATAGAAAAAACGCTTGTATGAAGCTTGAAAGTATGAAGTGCCCAGTGCATACTCTCCATGGACATGGTGCTTGAACCCTCTTCTTTACTTCTTGTTCGAATGGAAATATCACGAGATATAAATAAGGCATTATTAAAAATCAGACAGTGATTAGTTTTTCGTTGTGTATTTTATGAAGCTTTTCGGCTATAGTAATCATTGATTGTTGTTTGTCTTAACGCCGAAACATCGCCCCTAAGAAAGGACCAATCATGGTTGACATTGAAGTTATCGCCGAAGCCCACTTGCGTCACATCTCCGTTGCCATCGGCGTTCAGCTAAGGACTGAACAGGGAATCATCGCAATGCCAAGACTCTAGAGAGCCGCGTATAAATGAGCGTCGAAATGTAATCACAATTGCTGACTAGATCATTTCTCATCAAAATCTCATCTGATTAATAGCCATGGAGACTCAACGAAATTTCCAAACCCTCAAGGGCAAGGTCGCTATCGTTACAGGCGCTTCTCGAGGCCTTGGTGCTGGCTTTGCTTATGAGCTTGCAAAAAGAGGTGCAAAGGTGAGGAAGCTCTTGAGTGTCGTTAAACAGCATTACTGAGCACGGCAGGTTGTGGCTACATACACTTCTCCAAGCAGCGAAAAGCTTGTGAAGAAGTTGTCTGACAAAATCGCATCACTCGATCCACCATCAGAATGCATTGGTGTCAAAGCAGATCTCAAAAACGAGTCGTCTCCCGCAGAGATCATTCGTCAATCTGTCGCTGCATTTGGTCCTCAAATCGATATCCTAGTCAACAACGCGGGCATGGAAGTCGTCAAATCTCATGCCGACATCACAACATCCGACTTTGACTCAATCTTCTACCTCAACGTCCGCGCCCCTCTTCTGCTCCTCCAAGCAGTAAAACCCTATCTCCCCTCGTCCGGCGGTGGCCGCATCATCAATATTTCATCAGTAGGCGCCCGCTGCGGTTTCAAGAATCTCTCCCTGTACTGCGCTTCCAAAGCAGCTCTTGAAGGACTCACGCGCTCATGGGCAGCTGAGCTGGGAGAAGAGGGACATACAGTGAATGCTGTTAATCCTGGACCAGTGCAGAGCGATTTATTGGACAATATTCCCAAGGAGATTATCGAGATGCAGAAGAAACAGACCGCTGCAGGGAATAGGTTGGGTGAGATTGATGACGTTGCACAGATTGTTGCTTGGCTGGCTTCAGAAGAGAGTCGGTGGATTACAGGGCAAGCTTTATCTGCTAGTGGTGGATTGGAGATGTACTAGCATTTTAGATATTTGGCACTGTAATATGAGTGTAAATTATTGTTGGTGATGCCGGAAGCTCAGAAACACAATATTGTGACACTTATGCGAAGTACATGCTCCTCGCTCCACCATTCATGCCAATAGCCACCTTTCACAAAACGTCACATCACACGTTGGTGAGTAGCGTGTTTTACTTTTGACGCATGTACTGAAGTTATCACCATGTCGAGGTAAATCATTAACTTTGACATTCTAAAACGACTCCTGCGCAGGTCTCAAGTCCAACTCATGAACCCAAAGCGAACTCGGTTGCTGCGAAAGCCACAAATACGTCTGTCCAACATCTTCAGCCCTCATATGCTTCCCGGTCCTCGTCTCTTCAGTATCCTCATCCGTAATCCTTCCATTCGCAATAGCATGAACGCACTGAATGCCAAACTTGCTATGCTCCTTCGCAATAGCCTGTGCAACCATTCTAGCAGAGGCGCGAGTCGCTCCGTAAGCTGCGTAGCCAGTGTTTGTACGCATAGCTCCCAGTGTGCCAGTGAAAATAATAGTGCCCTTCTTGGCACCGTTTGTATCGGCAAGAAGGGTCTGGCCGCCGTTTTGCTCGTACATGAGCTTGAGAGCTTCTTGGGCGAAGACTACTGCGCCGGTGGTGTATACCTGCATGCTTTCGTTGAACTCCTCGGGCGTTTCTTCGAGGAAAGGCTTCTTGCTGGCGTGCTTGACGTGATAAATTGCCAGCTTGAGCTTGAGATCCTTGAAGTCTTCATGGTTGGCGATGTCTTTGAACGCCTGGCGTAGGTTTTCCGGCTGAGTGTCTGTAGGGAAAGAATGAAGAACCCCGTTGGTTTCTTTGCGGAGTGAGTCGCGCAGACTGTTGAGGTTATCGGCGTTGCGGGCCAAGATGGCGACGGCGAGGTTACCGGCGTCTTGACGGGCAAGAACACGGGCGATGCCGCGACCGCTTGTTGGACCGGCGCCAATGATGATTGCAAGACCTGAAGGTGCCATTTTACTATAAGAAGGTGATTTTGATCAAAGTTTTATGGCAGGCCAGAATTCTCCTAGTTGTTTATATAAATATCCGGTCGAATACGTCATGCCGTTACAGTACTTCGATGATGACCCTCCCGGCCGTTAAGTCCGAAACTGATCAGGTAAGGATCTCCACAAGGGAACGTCGTCAATCAGGTGTATTCTTGGAAATAATTGGATCTTGACAAAATTAGACACGGCCTATTCTTGAAACACTTGACCCTTGAGACACGCATATTTCCTGTGTTGAGGATGGTCATGTACTGCAAGCCGCCGTTGTTCGCGCATCTCTCAGCGACAACGTCTGTCATGAAATTCCTTCGAATTCCCTTTCTGTGATAGCTTCCTGACCACTCCTTTAGAGAAGATAAGTATCAGGCCTGTCTTCATCCAGCTCAAGGCCCTTCTTCATCCTCTCTCGTCGGTCAAGAACCCAGTTCAGCCATCTCGTCATCTTCATCGCATTGCGATCCCGGAAACCCACATCGTATTGCCATCTCGAGATATCACAGTTTTGCAGAACCTCATCCATCTGTATCTTCTTCCACTCCTGCCCGTTGACCTTGAATATGATGCTTTCTGTGATATGTTCGTGCAGCTCCAAACAATATTCGATAGTGTAACGGGTCGCACTGAAAACATAGTCCAACTCATTGGTCATGTAACTGATGAGTCGCTTCTCCGGTACCCGCTCGTCCCTGGAGCGGATGCGACTCCGGTACAGCCAAACAGGATTCTCGTTGTCCCTGCACTCAAGCTTGGTGTGAGCGGCGCCGTCTGTTGGAGCGACAACATCCACTTCGATTTCATTGATGATGAAGCAGCGGTTATCTAGGCGGCCGAGGTATCCAGGCCCATATTCTATCAAGCCTATGAGAAGGTCGTAAAACGCCCAAACTGCGGGCTCCGGTCCTCCACAACCACCTAGGAAAATCAAGCTGTCCTTAAAGCGATCGTCAAGATCAGCGGTTGGGTCGAAGATACGAATTGTAGATGTGACTTTGTCGATGTATCTTGATGTCGGCCGCTTCGTAAAATCCCATGTAGTCCAGAGGCCATAGTTCTTGACAAACATGATATCGACATGGTAGTTGTTTGGGAGACGAGTGGCAATATCCTGAACCTCGGCGTGAAACTGCTTACTGACCAGAAGCAAGCTCAGAGCTTTGTTCTTGGGTGCCTGTTCCCAGACGCCTGTAGGACGCCAGTAACGGTCTTGAGGATGGTGAGCTCGTCGATATCGGCCATGTTGGCTCTCTGAGGGACTCGATGGTGCAACCAGAGCCGTTAGAGCCAACTCAAATATGTTTTGCCGTAGCTCTACGGGGATATCTTGTAGCTTCATGGCTGATGAATTACTGATCATGTATTGTGGCGGATTGCAGATGTCGAACGCTTGCACAATGTGGTTGCATACGGTGTAGGCAGCACCCCGCTTTGTCGATGTCAGCCTGCTGATGCTGGTACACATGTCTGTAGCCGGGAAGGCAACCCTTATATAATCGCAAATTGGTAAGTCACTCGGCAAGAAAATTACTTCTCTACATGACGTATCACGGTTTTATGCATAGTTGAAGCTGCTTGGCTGTATCAAAACTCTCAAAGATTACACTTTGCTCCATTTCAAATATTCAGGGTATATTAGCTGGCCATCAGGTTAAGCTTCATGCTGTACACACGGGTGTATGGCGACACCATATCTTGTTTCCATCAGCTTCTCCTCAAAAGATTCCGCGATGGCCAATAGAACAGCCAATAAAACCAGTCTGAAGCAGGTTCTCAATAAATCCAGATGACCCTCCCTTAATCACAAAAACTCGTGCCTAGGCCCTGGGGACCAAGAAAACATCCGACCTTGATATAGGATGTTAAGGTAAACTAAATAAAGTGAATCTTAAGATTATGTTAAATTACCCAAGTCTTTCCATCACTCAAGATCAAGGTCCTGAACTTTCTTGCCTCCCCTAGCTAGACTCTCGATGCTCGGGAACTTATTAGAGAGTTCCATCTGGCCATCCTGCGTACCTCCCATAGTAGCCCTCATAAGCCAGAGCGACAGCTGTGAGACCAGCTGAGAATGCCTCCCATGTTGCAATTACTCTCCAAGCAGGTCCTTGCACCCAAAAGATTCTGGCTGAAATGAATCGCGCCAGGGTGAGGGCAAAGAAGCCTCGGTTCTCTTGATAGGCAGCCAGCATGTAGTAGATGCCGATTCCGATGATGGCGACTGAAAAGCCGTTGAGTGCGGGGAGGGCAGACTCTGGCAATTGCTTTGCGGTGAGGCCCTTGCGCGGGGAGATGAGATTGCTGACGCCGTGGTTGAAGGCGCTGAGGCCGAAGATGAAGATTGTTATGGCGGTGATTGAGGGCATTTTGGAGGTGTTATAACTAATCGACATTGGTTACAAAATGACTAACGTTGGGACAATATATGGTCGGACTACTTGATAACAGAATTTGGTGAGAACACATCTCAACATTTGTTGCCATGCAGATCAGATGTGCGAAGTTTACTAGGGCTTACATGAAAATGCAACTCGCCAGTTGCATAGTTGAGTGTCATGGCGTTTTCTAGTCACTCTGATTGAACAATGGACCTTTGCGTGATAATAACATGAGATTATCATTAAATCGAGTAGCTTCTCATCAAAATGCCGGTCATAAGATACAGCCGAGCCATTCTTCCGTCACAACAATACAAAGGAGAGGGACATGCCAGAGGTAGCTGACATACTCAGTGATTTGCTATCAATATCTAACCATGCTGCATCATTTTAGATACTAGCAACGGCCACCTTGGCAACAAGACCCAGGATACCAGCAGCAGTGATCACATCGTCAGACCTCTTGAATCCCTCCTCAATAGGCAAGCGTTCCTCCTCTGCCAAACGTCAGCTTCATATCAATTTACTGGACAGGTTCACTTACGGAACAATGTTTTGACCCACTCTGTCTTGGCATTTCCATCGTTCAAATTTCCAAAGACAGACAGGTAGAGCGCAGTCTCGATGAAGCTGAACTGCTGAAGATCGGCAGGTAGGGAGAACTCGGGGTTGGCAGCTTCAGCGGCTTTGAGGCGCTCTTTGCGAGCCTTGGCGGCGGTCGCGATGGAGATGGTTGGCTCGGTGAAGTGAGAGGCTGTGGAGGCCCAGATGGTCTCGTTGAAGCTGTGGTTATCGCCGAAGAAGATGTCGGCGCGGCTCAGACTGCCATCGTGCTCGATAACTAGTTCAATTAGCTTGTAACGTCGTGATCTACGTAAGGATACGCACCTCCATGCTTGTTCAGGTCATCGAGGTTGAAAGTGCCATTGTTCCCAGTGGTGAGAGCCTTTTGGCCGACGAGAGCTGTCGCAGCTGGATCGAGGTTGATGGCGTCGGTGAAGGCGACGATCAGATCCTCAAGCGAGATATGGAGGCCGTCGCGAGGCAGATATCCGTGATTGGCGACTGCATTCACCATGGGGCAAGGGCTTCGGCCTGTAATTATTAGTCACGGCCTAATCATCGGTATGGTAAAACTTACGATCAGACGCCGTAGGTGCGCGCCACTCATTGCTGGCGCTAACAGCCAGAGCCGCAGAGCAAAAGAAGGCAACGTTAAAAAGCATCGTGATTTCTTCCAACAAAGCTCAAAGGATACAGAACCAAAATCACAAGCAAGGACAGTCTCCTTACGACATTTTATCAACATCTTCCCCTGAGCAACGATCATCTTTCACATTCTATTTTAGCTCCCTCCAATTTGTCGCGGTCAATGCCGAGGCTCACGGACGACTTGCAGAAACAGGACGAAGCCGTTATTTTGGAGTCGCGAGATTGGTGCAAAATCGCCGCGCGACTCGGACGAAAGATGCAGGTCCGGAGATGAACCAATAGTAGCGATTGTAATTACCATCTTAAAACGCCATGTTAATGCTTGGACCCCTTGGTTGTGGAGATGATGAGGGTCCGGGTGGTGAACCGAGCCTAGGGTGAATTACTTGGAAAGGCAGCTCGTGGTGCCCTGTAGATATTTACGGGTTTTATAAGGTTAAGATGGGAATTGTTCCGATAGAGTTTCGGCTTCAATGTCTAATCCAGCCTTTGAAGATAGGTTAGCGGAAAGATGCTTATTTTTGTTCAGAGGCAAGCAAGGGGAGGCAAGAAAACTTAGGACCTTATCCTAAATGACAAAAAGACTTGGGTAAATTTAGTACAGATTTAGTAAAGCTTACATTAGGTATTTTTGACCCTTTGATTTAATATCAGAGGGTTTCTTGCTCCTTAGGGGCAAGTTACTCACCGCGGCTATCTTATCGTAGAGGCCTAGCTTATGGAGCTATGATTTCGTCATAGAACGACTGGAGGTAGTGAAAGAGGGATGATCTGATAAAGGCATTTGAAGACATCTGCTCAATCCGGCATTGAACTAGATGCTGGGATAGAGTAAAAGCCAAATTGATGATATAACTATGCGTATTGTGTCTTGAAGTGATCCTTGAATGGGGTTGTCATGGGCCACCTGCGCTGGTACTAGGCAACCCAATGTCCAGCCTACATAAATAATTACTCAATTGCCAGCAACAGCTTCCAGAATCTCCATAACCTCGTCTGTCTTCGTAATTGCATAAGCATTCGTCTTGATCCAAATATCATTAAGACTATTCTCAGCCAAACCAGGGAAATGCTCAGACGTAACACCGACATCCTTCAAAGTCCGCGGCATTTCTAGTTCCCGAATGATCAGATCAAGAATATCCCCAAGATCAACATCTTCTTCCGAAACCTTCTTCTCAGCCAGTAGAGATTTTACAGTGTCCTGCTTTAACAGAATATCCACTGTACGTTTCTGATGATCGTTGTTGGCGTTCTTGCGGGCGTTGAACTTGCAGACTGCTGGTAGGAGGATGCAGCTCGTCTCGCCGTGACCGACGTTTAAGGGTCCAAGCTGATGGCCTATCGCGTGGCTTGCGCCGAGAGGTACACCTGAAGAAACAGCGCGCATGGCTTCGACGACGCCGGTTTGATAAAGATGGCGGGCATTGAGATCCTGGGAGTCATGCTTGCATCGTAGAAGCCCAGAGATTAACTTCTCTAGACCTCTGGCTGCCCATGCATCACCATCATCGTTACTCTGCAATGAGCATAGAGTCTCAACGCAATGGTCAACGGAACGGATACCGGTGCTGAGCCAGATCTTTTGTGGTGTTGTGGTTGTTAACTGCGGGTCTTGTATGACCAAGTCGGGATCAACGTTTGGCTCAAAGGTGTGTTTGGCTTTGCTCTTTGAGTCTGTCGCTCCGGCTATGGCCTGGTATTCACCACCAGAAAGCGAAGTCGGGATGCAGATCAACGGAATCGTAGGTTTGTGCAAATCCTCCCGTTTGTGAGGGTTGTGCGACTTGCCGCCCCAGAGCGTACCGACCTCCTCTTCGGTCCAAGTATCATTTGCAATAGCGAACCGCACGAGCTTGGCTCCGTCGGTGATACTTCCTGCACCCAAAGTTACGATGCAGTCGATGTTGAGGGGCTTGACTTCAGCCAAGATGTCCACGATTTCCGGAATCGGCGTATACGGTGAGATGCCGATATGAACGCCAGCAATGCGATCTCCCAGGGCAGATTTGAGGTCCTCAACGTAGGAAGTGTTCTTCGACAACGAGCGAGATGCTATGATGAAAACCCGTGAGCTTTTGAACCTGTCTTGGACCTGTTTGAGACATATTTCTTGAAATGGCTGGCCAAAGCTGATCAACGGCGTAGGCTTGTTATCAAAAGCCGGATGTGTCGTCTCATTGGTGTACCAAAAAGCCATAATTGTTGGTGCGATAGTTGTTTATGCTATGTTAGAGATGAGAGACATGCCTTTTAATTATTTCAAGTGAAGTTATGACGTTATCCCGGTGGAGCCGGCTAAAGCCATCATGCTGCTATCTCCGTGTCATCAATATGTCGTACTGTCCAGACTCAAAGTCAAATGCTCAACAATTGGTGAGTAAAATAATCTCCAGAAGTCTAGTCGCAGACTGTTGGCATAATCCTTATAGATCTGCCGTTTAATGCACCTCTGATGTCCTCGACCTCCTCGGTAAGATCATCCAGATTTATTGCGGTCAATGTGCTGGACAACTGGTTGCCAACTCATCTGATGTCTTAGCCAGTTATTGATAATATCCACATAAGAGGACTCTGAGGATGAGATGAATCTTAGTTATAATTCTTGGAATATGGATACTCAGAATTCTAGTTCTTTTGTCTTCCTGATCATATTGTCTAATCTATTCTTCTCTGGATCAACATCAATCCACCCTAGGTCGACGGGCCAAGACGAATTCACCTGCTCCTCCATTGCCTTTTCATCCTCCCCATCTTCCTCCACAATACCCACTTCTTTTAGCAGAAAGTCGTTTTTACTTCCAATACTACCCTTCAGTAGACGAAACACTACTCTGGCCAGATAACAGTTATTGCTCTGGTCTCCAAGACCTTTGGCAACGAGGACAACGGTCGATTTTCGGCTTTCCAAATCTACCATCTTAGAACTATCCAAGGTTTTTGCGTGCATGAAGCCTATAAAGGCCAGCAGAATTACAATGAATATGTCATAAGACTCGAATCCATGCCGCAGGTAGTATAAGCGTAGCAATGTTTCCATTTTTATCTTGGCGTCGCTTAAAGCCTTCTGGACACTGTCGTCAACTAGTGCAGGCGCAGTTGTCATGCGCAGTGTTTCCAGAAGATAGACAATCAGGTTGTAGTAGTGCATACTGAAGAGAGTTAACATTGATCAAAGAATGAATGATTTGTCTAACTTACTGGAGCTTGAGCTGCCATGGAAAAAGGATTTCTGTTGGTTTGAGACCTGGCGAAAGATTTCGATACCAGTTGTCAAGACGGATACAGAAACCCTTAATTTTGTCCACAATGGTGTCCGGAGTATTCTTGAAACCTGAGAAAAATACAGCAGCGACATCATTGATGATGACCCGGAATTCAGAGAGTGTCCGAAAGGTATTGGCATAGTTCACCGATACGGGCCCTTTCGCCGATGGGTAACGGAGCCCGAAGTCGCCATAGCAGTCATCTTGCGTAGATAGCTGTATGCTAGGAGGCATCGATAGTAGCGGTGCTTTGAACACGTGGAAGCTATGGACGCTATTGTCTGTCAGCTTCGTCATGAGGTGAGGAAGTGGGACTCACGCCTGTAGTCCAAATAACGCCCATGCTGTGAAAGCTCTTGTATAATACTCAAGATCATCGCTGTTCTTGGTCGGTATAGAGAATAGATGCATTGCATGTGCAGCCGCAACGGCCTGAGTCAGGTAAGATCTTCCCACCTCATCACTACCATTGGCATCATGCACAAGCGATAGGACAATTGCAGCCTGGATGGTCGTAAGTCGAGCATTGCCAATCTCCAGCTCCCATATTCGGCGTGCCTCTGCAAGGAACTGATACCCAAGGGTCCGTGGATTCCAGAACTGAGACCGATGACTCATCTTGGAGTAGCCGTGCTGGAAACAATGATTTAGAACTCGGTGGTCTGATAAACTATGGGGTCTTACCCACGCAAGCAGATGCAAGGACTGCATGGACTAAAAGGGAAGAGCAGTATTTGCTTCGGCCTGCTGCCATGTCCTCCAGAAAGTAGTTCTTTTGGAAGGCTGGATAGAAAGTGTATTCGGTCATGAAATACGTCTCTAGTAGCTTCCGTAATAAACTGTTATCATCGATGATACACGTCCATTTCCGCGCGTCGATATGGTCTAGTCGAGGCTCAACCATTTCGGCTGCATGATAAGGAGCCTCGTAAATTATAGGATACTCTGTTGGTGGATTGTCACTATCTTGTATCCTCGTCTCACTCAATGAGTATTTATACAGCCATGAATCAAGGTACTGGTTGCCTTCTTGGATCAAGAAGCTAGGCATTTCTCTGCGATAAGGAAACTCATACTGGTAATAGTGATCCGGCACTACATGCGCCTGCTTGAGAAGATCTGCACGTTGAATGTGGTCAAGTATCGACTCAACATCATGGCCGCTCTGGATTCTTCTCAGGATATCAGTCCCTTCATGCATTGGCTTTGTCGCTAGAATCCGGAACAGTTCTTGATACGCCCCCTGCTGTTCAAGGGGAGTCCGGTAGTGGCACTCCGTCCTTCGTCTGGTGCAGTGTGAACATCGAGGTTTGGCGCCGTCGCACTAGAAAAAAAGACCTTGTTAACTCATCGTCTCGCACACTAAGGAAACATGGAACTGCGCACTCGGGACTTGCGCTGACGACATGGTTCGCAGGCTAAAGTGATGGCTTTACGTTGTCTTCCTAGGTTTGGGACCAGTGGTGGACTCTGGCTTAGAATTTGGAGATTTTCAGGGGCCGGGCCTGGCAAGAGATAGCGAGACATGTTCGTTTGTGAGTGAGTAGGTTTACTAATGCAACCGATTGCTTTAGAGACTATAGCATGTTCATGGTGAAGAAGGGGCGGGGTTTGGAGAGCCCTCACGTGAGATTTCTTTCACCAATCATGCTTTGGGATTGTCTCAGGTAGGTAGCTAGCAACGTCTATGGCGTCCTAAATACCTAGGTAATCGAACACTGTCTCTACTTTTTCGTATGAGGAACTGCTACTTTGTGTTGTGAAGAGAAAGAAGACTCAGTGGACAGCATCATTGGCAATATTTAACATCCTCTGGCTCGACAGAATGTCTGGACCGGGGCCTTGTGATCGACTTCGTAACCCTGTCTCGCTCCAGGGCGGGATGTGGCGATTGTCGCAGATCGGGCTCTCCAGTCCACGCACTAACTGACTAACCAGTGCGCTAATGCAGGGCACGTCAAAAGCGTTTTCAGTGGAGTTGAAACATTTTCACAGGGGGGATCCCGCTAGATCAACGCCTTTCATCGTTGCATTCGATCTTTCACTCTTATCCCACGTGAATATCTACAAGTGCATACCAACTTCTCAATAAACTTCTTTAACGTCGTATCTCGAGATCATGTTCTTCGCTGTAATTGTGACGGAAGCTCCCGTGTATCACCCCCATGAAACACCTCGCCCTGACTAGCCGCGTGTCAACCTCCACCACCACCAAGCTGACGTACAAACAACCAACCCACAACACGATTCATACTGTAGCCAACCCACCCACGTCAAACGCCACAGACATTCTCTTCCGCCGTTGATCGCCCCACGTTGCAACCCGGTATCCAATATGATCGTTCCAAAACTCATCCGTTTCGTGGGGCTCTTGTGCCGGTTGACGCGTTCTGTGAGACTAACAAAAAGCCAAGTTTTGCAGTTTTCATCCCGAGTCCAGAATGCGGAGTTCCGATCTGTTGGGAACTGCGGGAGTATATGAGCTTTTGTTCTTCCCCATGTTAAGAGACTTTTGTTTCTGATGTACGCTTCGCTGTAGCCATTCCTTCTGTACGGCACGTTCACTTTATTGTTTCTTCTTTTTTCGTTGTATCTATCTACTCTGCTTTTATAATGAAGTTCTCTTCGGTTGTCACGAGCGGGCTCGCATCTTTCACACTGGTCGCTGGCCTTCCGACTGTTACATCACCAAATGAACACTCTGTTCAACAAGTCCGAAATCCAGTATATAAGCGCAATGGAATTGCAGCTCTCGGCAAGATATATCGAAAATATCACATTGATCTTCCGGAATACCTCGAAAATTCAGTACTTGCTCGTCGAGATGGTACCGGCACCGTCGCCAATAAACCTATCGAGAATAATTCGGAGTGGTTGACACCGGTTCAAATCGGAAATCCTCCAAGGACATTCCAGATGGATCTAGATACAGGATCATCGGATCTTTGGGTATATGGTTCAAAAGCAGCTACTGCTGGCGGTAGCAGCAACCGATACAATGCCTCCAATTCGAAGTCTTGTGAGGAGATGGCCGGTGCAAAGTGGACGATTGAGTACGGTGATGGAAGTGGCGCTTCGGGTCATGTTGTGAAAGATACAGTCTCCATCGGCGGCCTGTCAGTGGAGGCTCAGGCGGTACAAGTCGCCGATAAGGTACATGAGTCTTTTGCACAGCAGCAAGACTTGGACGGCCTTTTAGGATTGGGTTTCAGCTCCATCAACACGGTCACTCCGAAGAAACAAAAGACATTCTTTGAGAATGCAAAGACAGAGCATGGCACTGGGGTCTTTACCGCGGATTTACAGCATGACGCTCCAGGTACATATACCTTTGGCGTCATTAACAAGACAGCATACGAGGGGGATATTACGTATACGGCTGTTGATTCATCGACGGGAATGTGGACATTCACTTCAACGGGATTTGCCGTTGGAAAAGGCAATATCACCAAGACGCCCATCACCGCCATCGCCGACACAGGGACATCACTCATGTTCCTCCCCGAACAAGTCAACAAGGCGTACTATTCACAGATCAACGGTGCCAGAGTCGACGCAACAGCGGGAGGCTACGTTTTCCCGTGCGACACGAAAATGCCCGATTTTACGTTCTACATGGGGGAGACGGATATCACAGTCCCGGGGTCTTACATGAATTTCGCACCGCTTGAGGGGCCTGTCCCGGGGGAGAAGGAAGGGAAGAGGGAGGTTGGGACTTGCTACGGTGGATTGCAGTCGAGCGCGGGCGATATCAATATCTTTGGTGATATTGCTTTGAAGGCGGCCTTTGTGGTGTTTGATGCGGAAAAGACGAGGATCGGGTTTGCGAAGAAGACTTTGGTTGGAGTTGAGTAGGGACAAGTTATAGATATCACAGCGAATTACACTCTTTTATTATCCTATATATACATGTTGTTTTATGTTTTATGCTGGCTGTGAATAATGCAATGCTGTTCAGTCTCTGTCTGCACAGCTGCATAAGTTGAGCAGGCACACAAAACCAAGAAATCGCGCACAAAGTTCCACCTATGCAGGGGCATGACTTGCACTAAATTCTCTCTGGTCTCTCTCCAGCTGAGAAGTACCTCTCTGCGAGACCCACAGTAAGCACGATGTACCTTTTTCACATGGAGGAGAGTCTCTACGATAACGGCTCTGATAAGATAAGAAAACTCTCCGATGTCCGCTCAGTACAGAAGATGGGATCCGAAATTGCACTGTGTTCATCATCTCAACATGCTCAACCCAAGTGTTTGTTCTCATTATCATGACTGTCGTATATTCTATGAAATCACGCTCTCATCAGTATCTATGTAACTTTAGCCAGCGGTAATCACTCCAGGACCGCATCCAACAGATGTCAAATGCCATCCAACCGCTCTCTCAACGTTCCTCAAAATCTGGGGAACGTGCTCGCTCTTCATGTGCATCATGCCCAGTACAATCCCAGCAAGGCACGCACTTCCAAACTTTGCGACACCATGCTGCAACACCTTCTTCACACCCTCTCTGATCTCAGGGTCACTGCTCTTGAAAAGAACAACAAACAACGGCTTCATGACGTTGTTATCCATGAAGCGGAAGTTTGCTTGCGATCCTTTGAGCTCGTCGAGGATGCGGTGCGTCGTGGCGATGATCTCGCGGTACACGGGCTTCGCGTCGGGTAACACCTTTGCATCCGTGTTGAGCTGTAGGTGGAGACTAGACAGACACTCCAGGTACAGTGCTTCAAAGACACTGGCTGTCACGTAGCTGTGCGGCTCCTCATTTTTGCGCTGCTGCGTGTAGCGGTATAACAGCACAAAACCGTTGTGCCAGCTTGACAGGACCGAGAAAGCTCTCTCCCACGTTGCTTTGGTCGTCTCTGTATCGTCGTCCAAAAGATGGTGAGCTAGGTGGTGCTGTGCGACATCCCACCACCTCAACGCTTGATCCAAATCGTGAAACGAAGAGGGCATTTTGTCTATGGAGTACCTGTGTCTTCCCAGGCATCGCTTCGCGGCTAGGAACTCATCCGTATCCCCGGTGATGCCCAGTCTCAGGGCCCACGGGTAGGTACTCAATCGCTGTATCATGTCAAACAGAGCATTCTCATAATCATCAAATACTAAGTCTGATAAAGATACACCTTCTTGGGCACATCGTTTACCGAGGTATGCTTCAAAAAGACGAGCAGCGTGATCGTGGTGCAGAACAGCAGCGTGCATGTCCCCGCGAAGGATATCGTAGGTGAGAAAAACAAGAGCCACGTGAGTAACACTACGCAGCGCACGGAGTGTAGAGGTAGCAGTCGTTACAGCACGTACAGTACGTGTATAGTACTGAAGTGACAGCTGATGCGCCTTATCAGCAGCGACAGAGTCGATGGTTGGCTGCGTGAAGGCATTGACGGCACCGCCTAGGGCACAGCACGTCTCGCGGACAGCGGCATCCTCATGGGCCAGCTGAGGCGTGATGGTAGCCAAGGTGTTGTGAGGGAGGGTGGTGCCCTGCTCGTTGGACCAGAGAAAAGTGGAGAACATGTCATATTGCGTCTGGTCTTTGAAGAGCGAGAGGATGTAGTTTGGCTTGGCTAGGATGCGTGTGTCGGACTGGGGTCCTGCACGCGTTGTTGTCACGGCTGTAGTAGCTGTAGCTGTGGTGTTGAAGCTGACGGATTGGCTGAGCGGGAAATGACATGTTAGACCGACGGCTTTGCACCGGTTACAGATTGGTTTGCCCTCATCACATTTCACTTTGCGGCGTCTGCATGATATTAGCAACAGTCTACAGTTGAGTGTCTGTCTGCACGAACTTGCACTCTTTACAACCAGTACGTGTCTTGAAAGACTTGGTCTTTGGCTTCTTAGCGGCATTTTGGCCCGAACGATCTGCAATGTCAAGGACAGCCACATTGGCATTCGGGATCTAAGGCGACCAAGAGATAAAACATGTAAGTAAGCCACCGACGACATGAAACGGGTCTGCCCTAGCGGCATTTTGTGCTTTTTTGCTCACCCGTGGCTTGTTGTTGGCCGGGACCGAGACGATCTGAGATGAGGACGGGTCGCCGCCGCGAGGGGGTTGCACACCGCCACCACTAGAAGAAGACGAGGCAGAAGAAGCAGAGGCCTTGGGTTTAGGCTTGAGAGCTATTGTCTGCTCCATCACCCACGCGTTTACCCTGTCGGGACCGAAAGAGTGTGGCGTGACGGTATGGGGAAGGCGAGCCAAATGCCCGAGATGACACGAGGAGGGGGATGCGTTGTGAGTGAACTGTTCACTTTCGGTGGAGGAGTTTCAGAGTGTTTAATCCTACGGTATCCACATTTGATGTCTCTGTAGCCAATCATGAACTGGCCTGTGCGAGTTACTCAAAGGAGTTAGGGTTGGGGTCTCGTTTATTTGTCCATATCCGAATTAGACAGGGATCGTCGCTTTGGTATTCTTGGCTAATGGTCTCAAACCCTCCGCTGCATTCTGACTGCATAGCGGCGCTGCAACAAGCGAATACAGTAAATTAATAAGTGATCTCATTAGTAAGATGATGCTTCAGAGTGTCAGAGGTGAAGTAAAAGTTTGCCTTGCTGGCTTCCTGATCATGTCCCAGGCTTGTTATCAGTCCATGCGTCACTAATTTGGAGCTGCCCAAACTTGTGCTACAGACATGATCTGCAGGCTGGGTGTAAGTTCTTCCTTGCTTTTGACACACTGTTGACCAAACTTCGCTTACATCTCTCTATGCCCACTCAAGTCGGTTAGTCTTGATACAAGTGATCGACATATCCTGGTAAGGGATGCTACACCAGGTCAACTTACAGGGTTACTTTCTATCAACTCCCGTTCTTTTGTTATCAAGCATGAATACTACTGATGATGCTAGGGTATGACTGTTGAGCGAGAGCAACTGGTGGGTGGAGATCCAAGTTTACTGAAGGCCGGACCTTCGGCATAACAGTATCGTCCGTGTTCTTGACAACGCCTTGACTGGTTTTATTGTGTACCGATACGTCTTTGACCATGGCATTTAGATCAACATTCTTATAACCAATCGCAGTCAGGTACCTAAAACGATTATTCGGCGCCCCTCTTAGAAAATGAGAAGAAATAACTTGAACAAACTTCTGACAGACAATCCCGGCGATAAAGAACACGGCATATTTTTCACGATATTGTTAAAAGCTTGTATGATGAGTAGTACTCAGGATGCTATCAAAGTTTACAATTCAGCCTCATAGTTGCGGGGTAAAAAGTGTAGAGGCCATTACAAGCCCAGAGGCCACCTAATATTAGGTTTTGGCTGTAAAGTGATTTAATGAAACCACCGAAGTTTCCGTTGAAAATGGTGTATAAATAGAGCCTGTCTCCGCCTTCATTACAGAGAGGACACAGTGAGGAAGTATTCCACAATTGAGAGTAAAACGAACAAGGCTGTCCTCGAGGACCCTCTCATATCCAAGTGTCTTTGGGATGTACGCAACGACGCCGACGCCCTTTGGGCCCACTACAAGGTCCGTCTTGCGGGTGTAACGGACATACAGCTCCTTGAGAATGCCTCCCGCGTTGGCGATAAGACGTACGTCCGTGGGCTTGACAGCTGTGTTGAGAAGGATCTAAGGCTGGGATTCATGGAACTCCACAGATGGATCTGAACCAAGCAGGCGGTTAAAATTCGCATGGCTGACAACATTTTCTCCCGCGCCCCTTAAACGCTGAGGCAGAAAAATACTGCATCAATGGCTTTGTACACCTGCCTGCGCTACAAGATACTTACACAAAGCGGATTAACAGACAATGGAGGAAAAAGGCTATGCACGAGAGTGCGCGTCGTGTGGTCGAAGCCTGCTCACCAGAGTACAAGCCCCAATCTCAGAACAAGAGGCTAGGGCCGTGGGGATCAGGATCGGGGATCAAGACATTGACCATGGATAAATGGCTCGAAAAGTATGACGAAGACAGGATGGATAGACTGGATAAGGAAATTTTCGATAATGATGACGACTCCAGACGGGTCTGGGAAAATTAATTCGAAAGACGTCGCATGGGACGATACTTTCGATAGTCATTGGGAACATGAAAACATACCAGTGTGGAAGCTATCTGCTGGAAGCCCTTATACACACTTTAAGCACGTGCCTCCAAGGTAAGCTGACATTATGGGAGAACGGTGCTCAGTTTGCAACCAGATGCCGTTTATTTGTACTCTGCATGTTTTCATAAGAGACGCAGCTTTAGTGCTCTGTTCATGGCAATGTCTGTCTTTATCTAATCGCCGTAAGTATACAAAAGATATGGAACAAAGAATGGTCCAGGTCTAGAGCTAAGCATATCAGGGAGAGCATCGTTCTGTGTGTTCATGATTGTAACGTCATCCACCTTTGCGAGCTCAGAATCAATAATTGGAACATGAATGTGAGCAGATTGTTCAAGCATGCCTAGTTGCAGGTGACGTAACAGGATGCGAAAGACTATAAATCAAGCTTGTTTGCATATTTTCTTTTAAGCCGCACCAATTGTTCTCTGGTCCGGAAATATACAATACACACTGCAGATATGGAAAAAAAACTCTTTGTAACAAAGTTTCGCCGAACATGCAAAGGAGGATATTGTTCGCATCTCGACCTTAGGCAAGCGTCTGATTTGGATAAGATTGGAGGATAACGAATATCATAGCTTGCTTCAAACAATGAGCTCCTGGTTTTGCTCAAGCCTCAGCTCTGCATTGTGTAATGTTCAGGGCTGTTAGCAGGACATGAAGAAAGTATATACTGTGGTTTTCCAAAGATATAAACCCCTACTATACTCAACAACTGTACTTGAATACGACACTCGCCTTGCCAAGGCTGAAGCCCACCATCTCTCAAGTCTCAAACACTACCCGGTAACCTGGAACTCGTCGCCAACATGGCTACCAACGCACCAGCAGTTATGCCACGAATCAACATCTCATACAGTATCTTCGTGCAATTTCTCAACAATATCAACAAAGGCATCTTCAGGGACGCATCAATTGACGCTCTAGGCAAGGTACAGAAAGTCCACCAAGCTCAGTCGCGTTTCCTGATTTGGTACCCTGACCTAACGGCTGTTGTGCTTGGACCCGCTAAGCCGCCTTCTCATAGATACCCATCACATAATGAGATCGATAAAACTTCTCGGTGACTTGAGAAGTGTGAGCGGCTTTTTGTTTGACATGGAACATAGGTTCTACTCTGGTCAGGAGAACGAGCGAAATATGCTGAAGCCATTGGAGGAGGTGACAGCTAGCTTAGAGAGACAGCTGGATTGTATTCAGTTGGAAATCAACAAGCTTAATCCTTACCGTGGACCTAAGGATACCTACGGCATGTATCATGGTGTTCTCGTTGACGCCGAGTTGGCCAAAGCTGACAAAGAGGATGGCACCGGTGGGATTGAGGAACAGATGATGGAAAAGGAAATCCAGATGAGCATGGTTCTCAACCTAGTAGGGGTTTGCAGGATTCTCGAGAGAGTTCGGCACCCATCAACGAGTGATAGAAATGCTACTAATATCTTTCAGAAAGACCTCGTCCTTCGTACAGCCACGGGTGTAGTGATGGGTGGCTGATGGAGAGTCTCAGTGCCAGTCTTCCGATGTCTATTACCGAAAGTACCATGTAGTCTAAAGAAATAAAGAAAATATGTCTAGAAAATCCCAAACCAGAACCCGATGTCGCTTTTAAACCATTTATCACCTCCTGTCATTACAATATGCCAACTTGTACCCAAATCCACATTCTAAACCGCATGTCTGCCCTGGAAATGTCAGAAGACACTTAGACCAAACCTTCAACCAGTACGGTTAAAGTTAAAGCCTCCATGCATCTGGGAGGTGTCTCCCAGCTCGAACCCTGGGACATAGCCCCAGGTGTTCTCGTTCCACCCTATAAGTGACAATATTAGTCTTGGAACATTGAACCGTGTTTAGTAAACTTACCTTGTTCTCCACCGTATCCGCGTCCCAGGGCCCCAATAGAGGGCATTTGCATGCCTGGTATCGGTACTAGGCCCGTTGCCGGTGCCTGATGACAGGGGCAGGTATGTATATCCGGAGTATGGTGAACATGCATGACCGCGGTCGGCACAAAAAGCGGCTTATGATCTTCCGCATAATATACGTGACCATGCCCTGGGATTACCGTGCAATGGGTAGCCACTGCATATTCTTTCGTAAAGGCCAGCGAAGGAGTTGAAGGGCTCGGCGGTGAGTTCTTCTCCTCCTCATCACGCTGGTTCTTGGGCCTTCCAGCTACTTTCTTGCCTCGCGCATTTCGGCGGGGAGCACGCCTCGGTGGGGTGCTAGGGCTATCCCGGTTTGCATCCTACGTCAGTCAGCTTTGTTGTGTAGTGTTTGCCATTGTGTATATCTTGCCTCTTTCGTCTGAGCTGCAGTGCGCTTGGGGGCCGACGAAGGGAGTGGTCGACGCTGCACAGCAAGCTGTGATGAGGGGGTCTCTCGGAGGGCAGGCATTAGGTACGGTCGAATGTTATTGTTTTCAGACATAATCTCAAATAGTTAAGGATGTTAAGGGATATGTTATGAGTGAAGCGAGTCGGCGAACCAAAGGTGAAGAGTGAAAGTTTGCTTAAGCGCGGTTATGATACTATTGATAGTAGTTGAAAAGAAGAACTTCTAACGGAATCATGAATGGAGTCGGCCGACCTTTTGAGCTTCACTGACTCCTTCCATCGCTTCCAGAATCACATGTCCAGTTGTCAATTAGACTGTTTGATACAGTGATGTATCAAAAATAACCGTTTGGTGGGGATCCACTCTACGGCGTGGCGTTGGAAACATGACGGGAATCAACGTCAGCGATGTGCTACTGTCCCCACCGACTGGTGAGTAAAACCCTCGTCCCATGTCTGTGCTGCTGTAGAGATTAGGTGGGTAGGAGATAGGGTTGCTGCGTCATGGGGCAGTTCCGATCTGTTGGACCCTTTGCCGATGTTATGAAGATAGATGATTACTTGCGCCGTGATATCGTGGGGCGATCAGTACGACGATACTCTTGAGCAGTCCAAGTTCCTGGCTTGGCTGTCATAGCACTGAGAGGAGCAAGGTTATAATTGTGGGCGATTTCATTCCATTCTATCTTGGAGGCAGTTCTGTCGCTTCATGATGACAGCCATCCTCGTACTAACGAAAAGCGCCACGAGCCACTATGTTTCAGCATGAACACCTTAATACTCTCCCATCCGACATCTAATGTTCTAGAAATCCTCTCAGGTACGTATTTCAAGCGCCAGCCAACACGGGCACGGGGCGTTTGGCTATGACCTCTTCTGCGACAGTGTTGGCAAGCGTATGCGCCACCATAGCTATTGTTGTAAATGAGGAACAGGGGCTATTTCCTCCCATACTGGGCTACATGTGATATGTTTCCGATCTATTGAGGTCTAGCGTATTCGCAATACCATCGATCATCGGAGTTGCCATGTTCTAGCGCTTGTTTCCATCAGATCTCAGTCTTATCAAACAGAGAAGTAGGACCAAGACTCACACCGGTATTTCGGCCTATGACTCACTCATTTCATTTCGTTTCAAATGAAGTCTAGATTGCGGTTGTCGACAGTAGTGGTTATCATCAAGCATTTGGAGGCGAGTTGTTGGCGTTGATAGTGGAGACCAAACGGTTCGGAGCGTCTGGCAGAGGGGCGGGTCTCCACTCTATGCCGTCCCGCCTCCGTGTCTTCGCTTAGCTGAAACCCCAGTTCCGCCAACATCCGGGGATGCTGGATGACTTTCCCCTTTTCTGTTTTAATGTCTGGATGGGGGCCCAATTACTGAAGAGAGATGAGTGTGAAACCTGTAGAGCCCTTGCCCTGAGGTGAGCGGAGAGACGGTCCGCATTCGAGTTTGACAGTGTGTATGCAAAAAGCCTGTAACCTTACCAAAGAAGAAGATGTAGCTTTCACTGTGCCGAAGTGATGAGAGACGCTTGAAGGGCTGTATTATATTTATTGGTGACGGCTTCTTTTTTTACGACACAAAAAAAAGCACAGACATAAAGGCCTCGCGCGATTATGTTGGAGCCGCCATTAAAGTCGGACGAGAAAGATCGTGGTCGGTAGTAACAGCTGCTCCCCATATCGCGACCGAGCTTGACAAGTGAGGGGCAGTTCAACATTTTGCCCAGATTGTAAACGAGCTTGCACAAGTCAGTAAAATGGCATAAACCCACTCTGCAGAAAATAAGCAATTCATAACTCCTCCCAGCCACCATCGTCATCTCCGGCCTCCCCTGTTCTGAGTCGTCTCACCTCAAACATGAGCCAGCCACGACAGGCAAACACACAGACACGAGACACCTCCTGAGCCCCAGTTTTCCAACTCTACTTAACGCGTCGGGACCATCTCCGCGTGATGCACGACGCACGCCAAAGCCCCACCAACGCGTTTGCTGTCTCGCGACGCGAGCAACCAAAATTAGATGGTTGGAGAGGCACGAGAGAAAGGTACATTGAGAGCGACAAGCTTGAATGTACCTTTCGCAAAGAGGACACCCTTGTCGAAAAGACAGCAAGGTCGGCAGCTTGGAGTTGCACAACGTTTGTTAGTGCATTTCGCGTGCATCTCTGCCCTGTGTTTGACCAGCAGCTGTGCTGCACCGATGCAAGGCCCCAACGTTGGGCTGGCAGCCGGGCAGTCTGCCTCCGTCCATCTTGACTCCCACCATTTTCAGCAGTTATTGCTCTACTGCCACTCGCGTCTCGGTCCCTCGTGAATGCCATCTTGCTCGACTTTCCATGCGGCTATGGTCAGCGACTTCAGATGCTCTGTGCATTGGGCCTAATCTGTCCGACTGTCACTCCAACTTAACACTATTCCTTCTGCATGCTTGCGTGTCTTCGCCCACCAGACGACCGTGAATGCCTGGATGTTGGGCTTGCAGTAGCCTCCCACTTCGCGCTCCCGTCCCGCTCTCGACCCTCCCGCCGCCAGCGCTTCTAGCTCTTGTCCTTCCGAACTCTATTCCATCACGTACCTCTTCCTCCCGAGACGAGCCGCGTCATTTTAGCCCGCTATTATCGGTAATACACTACATGTTGGCCTTGGTCTATTGAGACTCTCCTGCCTTTGGTAGATCCGGCGCGCGCGGTCTAGCTGTTGGCGTCGCCTTCGTACGTGATGAGGGCGGCTGTCGGTGGTGTTGTCGCGATGCCTTCTCACCAAGTTGGATTGCGCCAAAGTCAATGCCACTGTGGACATGGCTCGGCTTGGTTTCTTGTGCAATGTGATGTACTGGTCCATGATTGATCTATTTTTCCTTGTATATATTGATCTATTCCATGACGTCGATGTCTGTTCCAGTCTACACATCAGGCTCAACCTCGTCCACCGTCGGCACCTTGTGCAATTCGACCCCAAAGAACTTTGACACTTCCTTGACACTATCCCAAATGACTTGAACATCCTCCTTCGACACCCCAATTCGCCGCGTTCCCCGAATATGCCAATGCGTCTCCAGCGGGAGATTCTGGCTCATGATCACCGGCAGCACCACAAGCTGCGTGTCCGTATCGTCCAAGACTTGCCGATCCGATAGAAACAATCCATATGTGATCTCCGCCGAGACCCATGCGAAATCCTTGTGCGCGTCAAACAATCCCATCGTATCCCCCGCGTTTCGAGTATACACTTTCTTGAACCAATCGATTCCGCGGTCGTGGTTTGCTTGATCAGCCTGCCATCCGTCGCGCGTTTGGCTAAAGTCTCGGTCCTCGGGCTTCTCTACCTTCATGATTGACAGGATGGCTTCGAGGGGCTTGCACACGCCCACGAGGATGGTGGTCTTGATGAGGGCTTCGCGAAGCCGTCGTACGAGAGCTTGACGCGATCCGCTGCTCTGGTAGACTTCCTGGCGGGTGAGGTATTGGTATAGAGCTGCTGCAGATTCGGGATCGGGACTGGCGGAAAGACAGGCGATGACGAGGAGATACCAGCGCTCGTCGCCTAGATGTGTGTCTTTGAAGCGGGTTTCGATGCTCTGGAAGAGCTGGGATAGCTCCGGGGTGAGTTCCGTAGGTGCCATTGTGACTGTTGTAGATTTGGTAGAGGTCAATGCTCATGAAGAGTTGGCGACGTAAAGATTTAAGTAGCATTGAGCATATAGCTTCCTTGTAAGACTCTGGTGGATAAGGTTCCTCCCCCTCTCTGTTTAACGCGGCATCTCGGTAGCCACGTGGATCACTGTAGCGGCACAACAAACTCAATTAAGATGATTTATTGGTAATTTCATGTGAAATGTTACTTCTCATTCCATTCCACAGCGCACACGCCTCAAGGCGGTGGTGGTTATCTCATCTTGAACCTCCCCGCGCCGCCATCGGCCGCTGACCCCGCATCCCGATTAAGCTTGAGCTTGCAATTCACGAACGAGCTCGACCAAATCTGAACGTAGTGAGAGGCCACACAAAAGCTGCCCGCTACATAAACTAAATTGCACCATAAATATATTGTTCGCTGGAGAAGCTGTGAGATGTGCGTAACAAAAACGCTGCAAAGTGCGGTCGGTAGTTCGACATACTTCCGTAGGTTCCGGAGTCGCAGCTGGATCAACTGCCGTGCCGTGATTCCTTGTCCACCAAATTGAACATTGCACAGCGCATGACAAGAGACATAGACTATCTCGACAACTTAGCCAGCAATTATCAAGATTTCAGGCTCGTTTCGTATGCAAAGAGCTTTGCGCTGATAATGCTTCCCATTAACGATTCGCGCATCATGTAGGTCAAGTCACCATGGCCGAATCCTCCATTCGGTCACGAGGCAAGGAGAGCATCGCAACTCGTGATACATATGCAGCATGGCCAATTCTTTCGCAGGATCTCAGGTGCTAGGAGCTACCATTTTGAGAAATTGCTCATTTCTTCCTGTCAGCTTACCCGAAATCCGATATCTTACCTCCGCTGACACTCTGCTCCAAGGCAAAGTCCGACAAGTCCGCTTCTTGAGGTGCATATATCACAGATACTCCATGAACATTCTCGCATGTGTCGTGAGATTATAATAGACGAATGATACTCACAGGCTAATTCTGTTTCAAGTCACCGTGATCATGGGCCAAAAAGCATCCTTGGTTGTCGAAGTCGAGATCGATGCTCCAGTTGAGGTCGTCAAATTACTTGTAAGGCAGTACCGGATAGCTTTGACCTATATCTAATAGCATATAGTTCAAAGACTTTCCTCGCTTCCCAGAATGGAGCAGCTGGTCCATCGAACCAGTAGTCTCATCCAAAAAGATCGATGACTTGATGCCGATGGAGAAGATGAAGGTCGACGTCAAAGATGCAAAGCTCACAGCCACTCTCCTCGTCAGTAATTCCTTTCAGATCTCTCAAATTACGTTCCTAACTGAGTATCAGAGAAATGATCCTGATGTATTCGAGTGGGAGGGAGGTTTATGGCCGCTTGTTACAGGTCGTCATGAGTTTAGCTGGAGAGCGAGCAGAAAGACTCCTGGAGGAACGACGTTTACGCAAAGAGAGAATTGGCACGGTCTCATTGTGTTTCTTTGGAAGCCGGGTTGGATTATAGGAAGAAGTGCGAAGAGAAACTTTGAAGGGTTTAGTGCAGAGGTGAAGAGGGAGGCAGAGAGGAGGGCAGCGGCACTGTAATAAATGCGGCCGGCATTGTTGTGGTTACGTATGAGCTATTGTTTTGTTTACAGTGAACTTGAACCTCAATTTGGTGTGCATCTTCAATTTACTTCTAAAATCAAGACTTATCAAGAATCGATCTGTTTCCCTGGGTTCATCGCATTGCATCCGGCCAGCTGTCCAGGGCTGCATTTCCGTTTCGCCTCATTTCAAACTTAGAATAATACGATCTCCACAAATAAAACTCTAGAAAGCAGATGACCATTGACTTCAAAGCGACATCAACCAACAATGGCCGTCGATGTCGTTGTCAGACACTTCAACATGATCTGATCCAGGGTAACGGGACCTGAAAACGTGGGGGTTCACGTGGACACCCACGCTCGTATCAACACTCGGCATACCCGGATCGGTCAACCGTTACGCGGGGGATGAAATATTACTCTGAATCTATCTAGATACGTTCTTTTCTTTCAAGGAAGGTGATGGATTTGACCGCTACTCAAATAGGAAATCTTTGCCAATCAGCTGAGACCTACATAACGCGTCCCCCCTCGCAGCTCACCAAAATCGAGGTCTTGGATCAGCAGAAGAATGTCATGTTTTTCTTGGTGCCGTGATCGGGATTCGGAAAGGATCACCAGATGTTGAGGGCTGAATAAAACTGACCCTCTATCCCCTCACTTGGATCCTCTGTATTATATCTATTCATCAATTGACATAGTTACATCCTCAATATGCCTCCTGGAGTTCCACCAAAGCGATCCTACTCTCGTACCGATGCTGCTGTGCGCGTCGAGTACCCTGAGCACCATGAACTTCCCGCTAGTAAGCCATTGATCGGTCAGGGCGGACAGTTCTCCAAGCCGACGTTGGCGTCGTTGTCGCTTGAGGGAAAGACGATTGTTATCACGGGCGGCGCGAGAGGTTTGGGGTTGGTTATGGGGCAGGGGATTGTCTACTCAGGTGCTGATTTGGCGATTGTTGACTTGAACAGTATGTGACCACTCCGAGTGATCTGAGGTACTAACAAGTTTCAGAGGATGAAGCCCAGTCGCAGGTTGGTCAGTTGACGGACGCCTTCAAGAGAGAGAATCCAAACAGCCAGAAGTCAGTATACGGGCCCTTCTCTGATTCACCTTCTGACAGATCATCAGAATTCCACGAGTCACAGCTCACTACGCAGATGTCGCAGACCAAGACTCAGTAACCAAATGCATCGCCGAAATTCTCAGCATCCATCACAAGATCGATGGCCTAGTTACATCAGCCGGCTTCACTGAGAATTTTGATGCGATCCACTACCCCATTGAACGTATGCGCAAGCTATGGGGTGTCAATGTCGACGGAACTTATCTGTTCGCCGTCGCTGTTGCCAAGCATCTCATGGAACGTGAGGCGCCTGGAAGTATTGTTGTCATAGGTAGCATGTCTGGGGCCATCGTCAATGTTCCTCAACCGCAGGCGTAAGTCACCTCCAAGGAATCGAGAACAATGATTGCTGATGGTGTTGATTAGTCCGTATAACGCTGCCAAGGCGGCGGTTCGCCATTTAGCTGCTTCTTTGGCAGTCGAGTGGGCTCATGCTGGCATTCGTGTCAACTGTATCTCTCCTGGTTACATGTTGACTGCTTTGTAAGTCATCCCCCGACCCTCCATTCAACTTTAGACTAACAGGCAGCAGAACGCAGAAGATCTTGAATGACAACCCGGATCTTGAAAAGACGTGGACGTCTCTCATCCCCCAGGGACGAATGGGCCAGCCGCAAGACTTGATGGGACCTGTGACCTTCCTTTTGTCTGATGCTTCTTCATACATGACTGGATCGGATCTTCGAGTTGATGGAGGCTACACTGTCACTTAGATAGGAATGAGTCTCCGTCAAACTGGTCTCGAGTGCTGTTATTATAGACGTTGAATATTTGAATGAACGTATAAAGCCCAAATGGTGGCCCAAATGCATGAATGGTCTTATTGCCTTCTTGTGTCGGTCCTGGAGTGACCTCAGGGAGCAAGAAAACTTCTGACATTGAATCAGGGTGCCAAAATAAACTGGTCTAAAAGCCTAAGAAGATATGCTAAGTTTACCTAAGTGTTTTTATCTCTTAGACAAGAGGTCCTAAGTTTTCTTGCCTCCCCTTGCGTGGGTCCTGGGACAAGATATCTCACGTCAGCCGATCTCCACTAAGATCCTCCTTCCCACACAATTTCATCTTCATAGAGCCTCTTAACTGCCACACCATTTCTGCAACATCTAACATTGAAAGTACCACAGGTGTGGCTTGATCTCTACCACGATGGGTTTCTCAGAACTCGCAATATACACCCTGGGCCTCGCTTGTATCGCTAGAAGCATAATGGCCTTCACCAACCCGCAGGCCGAATATGCACTCAATGGACTAAAGCATACCGCCACTTCGAAGGATGACCCAAGCTCGGCACCTATTTACATGCTGGGCACTTGGGAGGTGTCGGTTGGTATCCTCTTGTTGGTACACCAGGTAAACGGAAACAGCACTGGAGTCACGACGCTCCTAGGGTTGATGAGCTTGTACAAAGCTGGCGTTGCCATACTACTTTGGAAGATTGGAAGCAGCATGAGTAAGGTTGCCGGGAATGTGGCTACGGCTGTTTTGTTCTTAACATGGGCTGTTTTGAAAAGCTAATAGGTAGACGGACACAAGATGGCGATATGGAAAGGGGAACCGCCACGATGAGAGCTGATGGAGAATGACGTTTTTGTATTCTTAGTCTTCCATGATCTGATGTTGCTCTGCCACCCTGTCCAAGGCAGCTGTATATGTCTGTGATCAAGGAATGAGAATGACACCTTCCGTCGATCTTGCTTTTGTGTCTGGGGAATGAACAATAAGGGCCCAGCGGATGATGCTTCCCACGCAAGGATGCCAGGCTTCGCCGCACGGCACAAAATCGCTCGAGGGATCATCAACGACGCCGCAATGGGACCGGCTCTGCAATTCGGGCGGGACATCTGGTAAGCTGTGACAGCTGTCCCCGTTCCTCAGCATGTCGCCGACACGGCACCGCCGATCAAATACAGGCTTTCAGACTTGCGACCACTGCGAGAGACAACAAGGGAGAAATAGCATAGCAAGTCTGCAAAACACATTAGTAGGACTTATGAAAATATGATCGAGGAGTGTCTTACCATCAGAACTCGGGCGATTGACATCTTGTCATCCTCGTCCGCGTCATCGACCTCCGCCATGGCCACAAGCTTCATGGCTGGTGGGCCAGCGGGCATGAGCATCATGGTGAACCAAAGGACACGGTCCTGACCTAGGACATCAGTCTGTGTGATGAGCATTCGAATGAACAAAATGCTGAGTCTAATTCCCAGTGTCAGTAGTGAATACGCGGATGGAGTTCAGGGAGCGATCTTACACTGGCCAGATAAAGAAGCGAATCAGGACAACGATGGAGAGAGGAAGCCAATGGATACTACCTGAGTCATGTCCTTGTCGCATGCGACGAAGACTGTGAGCGAGCTTGATGCCGACGACAATGACCTGCAGGGTGACGAAGAGCTCTCCAATGTTCTTGAGACTGACAGTCAACCAAGCGTTGAAGATGCCGCCATCCTCACTGTCGGCAAAGAATGCTTTCTTGAGAGGAGGCACAAAGGCGAGAATGACACCGATGGTAGCGCCGACAGATGGTGGGCTGATGAATTGAGTGGTGAGAGCCAGCATGTGCTGAATGCGAGGATGCAGCTTGTCCCATACGGCGTGTTGAGCCTGCGCGGTACCACGAGATGCCTTCTTCGCGTATCGTGGGAGCGGTCCAGGAAGGAGAGATGTTCGTTCGTTGGACTCTCCGTTCTCTTCGTCCGAGCCACTCTCATCTGGCGTGTCGTTATGTCCCGCTCGGTCCCTCAGATCCGCATCCATAGCATCGACTGGGTCTTCGTCACTGACTCCAAGAAGGGTTCCACCGAGACCAAAGGTGAGCATGTTGGAGATGACGGAACAGACGAGGAAGAAGGACTTGGCTCGATCAATGATTGCGTCGCTGGTGTCATCGTCGGACTTTGCAAGGGCAGAGAGAACACCAGCTGAACCGAGGGATTGGATCAAGAGCAGAGGGTAAGATGTGGTATTGTTGAAGGTGATTGCCGGCGTGAACCATTTCGGGAGACTGAGGACCTTCGTGAGGGCGTAACCGATTCCGATTGAGACCAGGTTGTAGACAAGTGCCCATGCTACTAAACATTAGACTTGCGGGCTTGGGAGAGGAGAGATTGTTGACTTGCCGAGAATGATAACGTATTGAAGCGCATTGGAGGCTTCAATCTGTGTACCAAGATTGACGATCAAGAGCGCAGGAAGAAACATCTTGATGCAGATCTTTGAGATCTGCCGTCCCGTCTCAACACTAAGAAGCTTTGTCTGCCCAGCGACGACACCATAAAAGATGGTCAAGAGAACAGACGCCGACGCCTGAATGGCGCCGACAAAGGTGCTGGCAACACTGCTCGACATGTTGACTCTTCTCTACAGAAATTTTGTGCTTGTTGAGTTGAAGTTTGACATGTCGCGTGCTCGAGTTTGTTTGATATCGCTCCTGGAACATTACGTCAATGATCAAGTGTGCATCCCGGAGCAATTGTGCCTTGAAAAGTGGGGCGAGAGGTTAAGGTTATCTTGGAAAACCTTGGAATGTGAGTGGATTTGGCGCTTGGCGGGAGAGGATTCATGGTCAGTGACATAATGGAGAGGGGACATTGGTGGGTTTTATTTGCAAGTGAAAGACGGTGGTGGCCTGTTTAAGCATATTTCTTGATTCTGGATCTGTAGAGTGGCAGCTGACAAGACAATCGATGCGGGGAATAAGGTCAATAGAGGGAATACGGCATTGTTGCAGGCTCATCATGTTTTACTGTGACTTAAACAAGGCATAATATTGCGAACCGAACTACTACTCTACGTCGCTCTCCTCGTGTCGCCAAGCAGCTCATACTGTTGGTTCTGCATCCCCGACAACTCCTGCGGCTCATGCACCTCCGTCGGCAGCTCAACAGGATGATAGCTAGCCAGCTCAGCCGACCCTTTCCGCTCGCTATCAACTGGTGCCTGACGCTTTCTGCGCAGGAAGAAAAACGCACCAGCAGCGATTGCTAGCACGCCCACGCTGACACCAACGCCAACGCCAGCCTTTGCTCCAGCTGTCATTCCTCCCGTGCCGGCATCAGCTGCGGCGCTCTCTGTCTCTTTTGCGCCAGAATTACCACCTGTGCTCGTTGCTTCGTCGCCGCCTTCGGAATCGGAGTCGCTGTCCGTAGCCTTATTTGACGATGGTGTCTGCGCGTTGTCCCACGTTCCGCCGTCGGATCTGTGTAGCTCTTGGATCTTATCGCCGCTCATGTAGTATACCCAGATCTCGTCCGAGTCCAGCGGTGATACAACAGCCAAGCGCGCGGATGCATCGTCTGCTTCGGGCCATTTCTTCTTCCCAGGGCTGTCCTCCTCTGCCCAGGCCCCATTCTTATGTGTTATCGCGTGTAATTGGGAGTCTTTGCCGATGTAAAACACTGTCAATCCCTTTCCAGCTTGGTTCGCAATGCCTAGATCGACGGCGGTGTTGTCGTAGGACGGGAGTGTGAGCGATGCCGCTGTCGATGTGTCGAGTCGTATATCTGAAGGTTCGGTCGCATTCGTCGGCGCTGGGCTATCGAACGGTGTCGGGAAGGATTCTAAAGCGCCCGTCAGCTACACTGTTGACCTCGAGTAAAATGCCCGTCTTCTTACCTAGTCGCCATTTGCTCTTGTTATCGTTATTGTAGCGAGCAACAACAATGTCCTTGCTATCGTAAGGATACACCACCGAAACATTGGTACCCTTCGTTTGTACAGCCGCTATCGTCATACCGCCCGGCTTCTTCAGTGATACCGGACCATCATATCGCCAATCGGTATCGTCGTCGTATGCGAGAAGGTTGACTCGTCCATCTTCGTCGTGGTAGTAGACTCGGGAGCCGCCCGCATCTCCTAGTTCTGCGACCGCCAATCCAGTCTTTTCGTTCACCGAGGGCAGCCCACCCGAGTCGGAAACGACCTCTTCACCATCGGTGTCGAGCTTATAATTGCCTGTTGTGTTGTCGCATATCAAGTACGCATTCACAATACCGTCGTCGGCATTCTGGTAGAAGACGGAGGCCTAGAACATTAGCGAAACTTCGGCAACGAGAGCTGCAAGATGCTCACGATTGGCGTATTGAGGTCGTCGTCCCACCAACCTGAGATAGCGAGCGGTGTCGCGGCCTTGGGTTGCTCTTTGAGTGGAAATTTATTGGGGTTTTTCGTCGAAAAGGAAGCTGATCCATTGCTATTGCACGAGCTGTGCAGAATATCACCAGATCCCGGGTCTTGGTATGCGAAATGCGGTGTCAGAGTGTAGGGCGACCAAGTCCACCATCCAGCCAAACCCATTACCGGCCTTGTCAAAAGGCACGCAACCGCAATCGCCGAGCGAGACATGTCGGCTATCGTCCGATATCGAGAGAATGGCGTTGAGATGGAAAGAAAAGAGGCACAGGCTCCAGCCTCGTCAGCTAACAAACACCAGCACGTCCATTAAAGCGTAAGACGAGAAGCGAAAGTGACGCTGACAGAAAGAAAATGGTATCCGAGAGGGCCAAGGCCAAGCAGCAACGGCCCAGCTTCACATGGGCATCCATTGGACTTTTTACCCAGCATCGCGTTACAGCGAGAGCGGAGATTTGAAGGGACTTTGGTGCGTGAGAAAAGGTGATGGAGCCAGAATTGGCAGCGATCGTTTCGCAGGGGACTCAACAGGGAGCTCGTGGTTGGCTGCTTTGTCATTCTGAGGGGCTAGTGCTTACTCTTCAGTGTCCTTACAGGGCTGTGCCCAGCAAGACACGGGAAGTGGACTACGACCTTAAGATGATATTTAGGGTTGGATTATGCTCCGGAGAGGACATCCTGATTTGAACAGGAAATACGGCCTTTCCCAAGTCCAACTGCCGCTTTTCTTCCCACCAGCACGAGTCTCAATTGCATTGTCGTGCTGCCAAGACGATGGCTCAACGGCCCGCTGTAGACTAAGCACAGAGCCGCTCAACAGCGTGAGCACTAAGCTTAAATGCGCTGTAAGCGACTATCATTGGTGCAACAACTGGATCCTTCACCCCTGGAAATTAGGGCTGACCTTTGAAGGTTGTTCCCTCTTAAGGCTAAACACCCGGCCTGATAAATTCACCATGATTCGCTGCGGACGCAAAGATCCGTTATCTCAAGGTGGTCTAGTTTCGGCAGTTGTTGCTTCAAGTTGGATACCTAAATGTAGTGAATACTAATGAAAGCATGAGTGGCTATGCCGTTGATATAAATAGTTGGCCTCGAAGATCGCTTATCTGAACTTTATCGGTGTGCGCTTGGAAACATGGATGCTATTCTCGTTCTTCCTTGGTGTATCACCGTAACCTCTCATTAAATTCACCACGGCTTGCTTCGCTTTATTGCAAGTCTCACTCATGCAGAAGAGTTATACCTTATTAGAGCCTCATTTTGATAGAGGCATGAAAATGGTTTACAGAGTTTCTTTTATCTCATATGGGTTATTTGTTAGGTCGTGATCAAAATTAGTCCTGTTCAGTTGGCTAAGCCACCTAACCTATAACACCTGGCTTGCATGCTAGCCGTGATGAATATTACGAGAGCATATGGTATTGCTGTAGGCTTGGTAAATAAGAAGCATATAATAAGATCTCTCGGCATGTTGCATTAGCATGACTTATTGGTACGGGACGTAATATGCAGATATGATAGCTTGATATGTGCTGTGATGCGATCTATCGGTGTGATCGCCTGGTATGGTTGAGTTGTGAACCACTGGAAGACTGAGTGATTAAGTTTGAGCGTCGCCAAAATAACCAGGTTCTGAACACAGATAGTGTCTCACGACTCTTCGAAACAGGTTCAAAATAACAAATAGAGGGAGTGCTGGGCCGAGTTTCTGTTGAGAGCTTCATCTGAAAAGGTCGGGTTACTGGAGGCTGCTTCCTTCGTCGAGGCAAGACTTTTGCGACACCACACCACCGCGTGACTATGAAAACGAAACATAGTTCAAATTCCATGATAAGACTTGGGTTAGCTCAAAAGAGTGTATACATTGGTTCTGTCGGGTTTCGTCTATTATCTTGCATGATATTGATGATAACCGGCATCATGAAGTCAAGTCAACCGGAAACAGTAGTCAAGAAGAAAGCCATGAGAAGCCATAAGGTGACCACGAGGAATTACTTTCGAACTGAAACGTAAATCTCGGGATTTGTATTGTGACTCATATGGTATTCCTGCTTCGCGGTAAGTCTGTCGAGAGTCCAGCGAGCTGGTTACAGTGATAGAGGAACGAGACCACCAAGTACCAAAAAAGCCCAAATCCTTCTTTGCAGAGTTGCCAAACCTAAACTCAATACGGCATATTAGTTGACCTAGAACATTTCATACACTTTGGCATCCTAGATTCCCAAATCCTATCGTTACGAGCAATGGAGTCCTTGTGCCACTGTCTGTCCGATAACAGATTCAGTTCAAAGTACTTGATTACGGTTGTAATTGGGGCCTAGCCACATTCTTGACTCTGTAACCGGCCTTGAATGGTGCTAGATCTGATATCCTCATTCATTATATAGGGCAGTGGCTTGATATATCTCGTGGAGATATCATAAGCTTCAACCATCAATCAACAGTCACTTACCCGAGAGCTAAAGTTGAGTAAGGTACTCAGCGATATGTATGAGAGTAAGGAAAGACTCTTCTAACTTGACGGTCACAAGACAGCTAACTGACCATGGAGAAATCATTTCGATACTGGTCACTAGAACCTGTTCATACAAGTCCATTTAGACCGCTTCAAACCTCCTAGCATCGTCACCTATGGAAATGTACTTTCTCTGCTGATTGCCGCTCATTCCGTTGCATATAACTCGCAAAAGCTCATTGTCCTTCTGGGTTTAAACAAGATTCATGTCATGTTTCAACTGGTACTCTGATCTATCATGGATAATTTATGACTTGGGTGTCTAGCAATATGTTGACTAATGATCTTGCAGTTATCGATAGTATTTGTCACGACTAGTCTCCAGCTTTTCGAAATGATGTTGGAATATCGCTGCGATAATCGACAGACAAAGTCAGTTGGTCAAGCAAATGTCGTTCTCGGTGGCGAGGCGGACGAGAGTAAGACCAACGGAGAAACGACGCTCATGGCGTGATGATTATTATGTCAAGCGCAATAGCATCATAATGGAAGAATCTTGCTACGCTTTGCCACATAAGAAGCCGTTATAGCCGCGGGAATAACCAGCAGCCATTGAAGTGATAAGACATCACCGACCTTCCTTGTTGGGCATGGGAATAGAAATAGGCTATAGGGCTACACGTTTTCAACGACATGAGATGTCCGGTTGAATGACTGCATGTACACATCCCCCAAGCACAATCGTTGTTAGGTGTAGAGTTGGTGTTGGAGGTCGGGGTCAAATGGTACGTTGCAAGGAACTGTTGGAGTTGTCTGATTCCCTGTCTATCATATCTCGACCCGCCACCATGGAAAGAGCTTATGCACCTTGGTTGGATCCGAAGAACCTCTGTATCTGCGTATCTACTTGTGATGGTACTCTATGGCAGTACTATCATATGAATCAGGGACCTTTGTCGTAATCCTTCGAGCTAGACTCTTTCATAGATGCGTGCTGCGGGAGGATCAAAACTGCTACCCCCAGAAAGAAAAAAACCCCAATCGGTTTAAGCATAACTGCCAAGCGATGTCACATTGATAGGCTTGATGCAGAGCAACCTGCCAGACTGAAGCTTTCTTGACATCGTACTACGCAGCTAGTAGATCTTCGTCTGACTTACAAGGCGGAACAATGCATGGAACTCTTTGGTCACTGCTGGCAATGAAATCATGGGAGCGAACTATGGAAGTGTTGCATTTCCCTATAACTGCAGAAGGCGATTTGTTTTGTTAGGCAAGTTCAATGGTACTGGGTTCCGTTACAAAATACTACCGGGGTAGACGACGGCGAAAGCTGCCAACTCGAAGGATCCAAAAGTGAGGTTCAGTCTCGACCTGGCCATCGCATCGTGGAAAGCGGCGAAGTGCTAGGGGGTCATGCCTCACGTTTAGATAGCGGCCGCACGTATCGATGGGGAGCTCTAAGAAACCGATCAGTGCCGGCTTGGCAGTATTCTTGGCGTCTGGAACGGGCTGGTGCTAGACTGTATCAAGATATCGGAATGTTTCGAATTCGGACTAGAGCAGATAAGTCCCGCCGAAGCTATTTATATGTCGAACGTTTTGATATGAGAGAAGACGAAGAAAGTTTTGAGACTCTCGAGTGTAAAATGGCAGTAATTACAATAAATTGGAGTTCCAACTCGTCGCAATGGACCTTCGCATCTTGAGCCCTCAAAAGGAAGCTTCGATGACGCCTTTTTAAAGGTTGTTGACGAATAAGTCGCACCGAGCAAAAGTTCCTCCAGACCCTCCCGATTTAATTGCGAACCCGGGCCACGTGACTAGTTTCCGGTTATCACGGCAGAAAACGACCCAGATAAGAGGGCGAATCTGCCGATAAATGAATCAAGGAGATCGAGAACAAGCGACCCAATCCTGCCGCTTAACCCTAAGTCAACTTAAGCTTGAATCTACTATCGGCGCTTCTGCTACTGTCTCGGCCTTGACCCCTTGATGATCAAAGGTTCCGGATACTAGAGGAACGATTGTATCTGACGTGCGTTGCAAAAGGTCAATAGCCCCCAGGTCAAGCGATTGGGCCCAATGATCCCCCATATCCCACTGAACCGGCTGCACTGGCCATGTAACACCGGAATGTGGGATGTCCAAAGACATGTTGGTGTCATTCTGCAAGAAATACAGCCCACACTCGGTCTATCAATATCATCCCCACTTGCCATTGAAGATGTTCTTTAACGTCCGTCACCCAAAGACTGGCCACCCCCACAGACCGGCCACCCCGACCAAAACACCAAGAACCGGATATCATGATCAATTAACTAATTATCTCAACACCACATTTTTTATATTAAATAAAAATTTAGTCAGTGAATATTTAGATGAAACTGAGTACAAAGGTCCTCAAGTTTTAATTTCTTAACCCTATTTGCCGTTCTTTCTGGCTGCAAAGTCCTCCACATCT